TCCGCGACACTCGTGTTGCGAGCGGTTCTTCCTCCGCCCTTGTTTGAGATGGTGGCGTGCAGGCGGGCGTCTCGTCTTCGTCACTATCGACTTCAACGTCCTTCACATATCGGCCTGGATTGCTGCGTGACAGCAATGGAAATTGTACCCGCTTCGACGCGGTCAAACATTTTATTGATCTATAGGAATTGATCAAGAAGACGGAGAGGTGATTGATTGATCTTACCTTCTCCTCGAATGCATGTTGTCTTGTCGCCTTCCACAGAATGCGAGCCTAATGAATCGGAGCTCCGGACAACGCTAGCTCCACGAACCCCACCTGCCAAGAAGTTATGTAGGTGATCCGGTGTGGCTGCAAGAGTTGAATAAGTGCTACTGCGACATTCCTCCGGAAGCCATCCTTGTAGTCACGGGTCTTGTTCCCGTTCTTGCTCGACTTGCTATGCTTGAACAGCGTCCCGAAGGAAGCTTCTTCCTCCTTCGAAATATTGACACTCTCGCACTCGAACAGAAGATGGCCTTCTTCTTCCGCGCATCTTCCTAACACCTGCTCTTAGTCACTGACTTCCCATCGCTCCGGGTGCGGTCGGAATCCGCGCATAGGTTGTAGGCACTTGTCCCGCAGCCACTCGCGTATCATATCCGGACACACCCAATTCCATCCCCACAGGAAGAAATCGAGTTTCACCGCAGTCAGCTCGCGCTGGAATGCGCACAACTCAATGTGCGGTAGCTTTAGCGGAATTATCTGCAGCTGCGTAGACTTCGACATCGCGTTCTTGAATCCGACCGCGCATGTCAGAAGTCCGCGAACTCTGTAGTAACCCACTTTTTGTTTTTCGTCGGAACTAAAACATTTTTGAATAGTAAGTACCGTGGTAGCAGCTGTAAATAGTAATTGGTACGCAAAGCCAGAGTAAAAAGAGGATCCAAGACAGTCAAGGGGTTTTGGGCTTAGGCCACAGTGGAACGCTTGGAATGGAACGGGCGGTTCACGCTGCACGACTGGCTTCGAGCACCTTCGGCGGTAGATCACTCATAACTTCCTCAATTCTTAACGCCTTGAGTTACTTAGGGTCTCGTTGAAAAGAACTTGACGCTCTGGTTCTAACGAGCCCAAGAACGCTTGGAATGGATGAGGACTCAGGAAGTTGTGACTGTCGGAAGATGCAAAAGAGAACGCCTACGGATAGGCGGAAGGAGTTCGTCGTCGGCGGAATATCCGCCTTCGGCCCTAGATGTTCGCCTTCGGCGACGGACGTCTTCGGGTCAACTTCAAGTCGGCGAACTTCAAGTCGGCAAACTCGGGGTCGGCAAACTTGAGGTCGGGGAACTCAAGGTCGGAGAACTCGGAGTTGGCGAAACATCGTGCGGGCGCCTTCGGCGATAAAAGATAACAAGCCTTCGACAGTGTGCCTTTGGCGAAGGATAAAACCGGCATAACTCTTTCAACTCGTAACGGTTTGACTTCGTTAGGGTTTCGTTAGAAAGAGCTCGACGCGCTCGTTCCAACGAGCTCAAGAACTCTTGAAACAGATCAAGGATCTGTGAGTTATGGGTGTCAGGAGTGACTGTTACAAATAGGCAAAGGTGCGGAAGTGCGTCTTCGGCAGTCAACGCCTTCGGCGAACTCGAGGTCGGCGAACTTCAAGTCGGCAAACTCGGAGTCGGCGAACCGGATGCGGTTCAGAGATCTTGCGGAGTCCATATCTTTGCGATGGACGGTCGGATGGATCTGAAATTTGGTGGGGCCGTTGATCTAAGTCGGCCACGGATGCCTGCAAATATTCAGCCTCAGATCTTGGATGTAAAGACGCTGGCGGCTCTGTACAGTAGGTTTAGGATTCAGATTTAGGGTTAGGGTTAGATTTAGGTTGTAAGTTAGAGGGGAAGGCAGCCGCCGACTCCTCAGGTGTAGGATCTGTTGCGGCTCGCACCCTAGCGGGTAGCGTAGTGTTAGTTAGGACCTTAGAGGGTATAAAGTAGTTCAAGGCGTTTTGCCTTGGGATTCTTCCAGTTTCGGAAGTGCAGATCAGGAGCTCACTTTCTCGGCGTGTTTGTGCGTTTGGTCCTGGCACCACGTAGAGGAGCTACAGCATAGTGAAGTTACCGCATGTTGTAGCTGAAGGCCTTCGGCTGAATGTTCAGAGCTAGTATACCGGTTAGAGACTTGAGTAGTGCGGATCTGCACCTGCGGGTGATTTCTGATGCTTAGAGCCGGTTGCAAGTTAGATACTTGAGCAGTTCCCCCTTACTCCTTCGAGTGACTTATCCTGATTGTACTCCTACGGGAAGTTTCCCCTTAATGCCAAAGTGAAGTTTTGTTACTTCGTGTAAACCTTGGTTATCAATTCAGATTGTGTGTGTGTGTTACTGGATTATGTCTCAGTTGAGTTCTCAGACGGGCCTGTACTCTCTGCGCTTGGTGTGAGTCGGGGGTGACGTCCACTGCGTATGAGGGACTTCGTTCCGAAGTGGAAAGTCCAATCCGGGTTCCCTACCTTAGCAGAAACTGGCGGAGGGCTGTAAAAGCCGGAGTGGGAGACACTACCTGCAGAGCCTCTGAGTGAACTTTTGAGATACTTTCCCCCTGAAATCCTAAGCGGAGGTCCTGACTGATCTCCGAGTTGTGCTTTCCCAGTTTCAGGTGTGTGTGTGTGTGTGTGTGTGTGTGTGTTGAGTGACTTACGCTGCACTGTGCATCCTCCGAGCATCCTCCGAGTCGAGCATACTCCGAGTGACCTCCGAGTTGAGCATCCTCCGAGTGGCCTGCGAGTCGAGCACTGCAGTATTTCTGGGAGTGATAGTCGCCTGAGAATTCAAACTCTCCAAAAGTCTGTTAAACGTGACACTTTGTACTCTGTGTGTTGCCTCTGTCCCTGTGGGTTCGATCTTTTTACCACCATACTGCAGTTTTAGCCTTTGCTGGGTTATTACAAACTCTCCGTTCTCTGTCCCCAAGCTTCTTGCACGCAGACTCAATCACTCAGCGAGCTTCCCGCACTCTCTAGTAAGAACCCCTGGCTGCGCACTCAGCTGCTGCACGCTCTTCTGCAACAACCCGCTAGTCGCAACTCTCTCTAATTTCTCTCCGCCAATTTCCTGCTGCATGGTCGACGCTCGAGCAAAATCGAAATCGAAATTGCAAGAATGAGACGTCTGCCTTTGGCGATCAAGATTTCACCTTTCGACACTTGATTGCAGCGCCGGCTTGGAGGCGTAACGGCCTACTTCGCACGCTCGGCTTCACGCTCCGCCGTTGCAGGAACTCCCACGCCTGAAAATTGAATTCGACCGTTGTCCTTCGACTTAGCCTTGCTCGCGCATCGCCGAAGGCGTGGCGGCGAAACACTTCGTCCCTGGCCGGTTTCCGATTTACTCTCTCCGTATCGCCGAAAGCGTTCCGCCAAAGGGGTATCGGTGAAGGCGTACGGCTGAAGGCGTCCGTCTTCCGCCGAAGGCGTTGACCAAAGTCAATGCGTCTTGTCGTTTCCGTTGTTCTTTATTGTCCCGCCGAGGACGCTCTTGCCATAGACTCCATTCCGCCGAAGGCACACGTGTTCGCCGAAGGCGTACGGCCGAAGTCACATCGCCGAGGGCATTGACCTAATATCAATGCGCTGGCGCCGAAGGCGTTCAGGCGAAGGCGCCCCATATCAGTAACTTCCGACACTCATAACTCAATGATCGCTTATCCGTTAGAACTAGCGTGTCGAGCTCTTTTCAACAAGACTCTAATTAAGTCAAGGCGCTACGAATTAAGAAAGTTATGAGGAATCCACTCTTCCGCCAAAGGCGTACCGCCGAAGTCGTATCGCCCAAGGCAAGTGACTGGCGACGTCTTCGCTTTCCCTTAACAAAGGCGTAGATGTCCCAGGCCTCGTACGTCCTCAGCAAAAGCTCTTTTGCAGGGGCTTGAGCCGAAGACGCTTCTCCTACTTGCGCCGAAGGCGCTTCACCGAAGACCCCTTAACAAGAATGCTTTTTCCGAAGGCGCCTGAGGCGCTCCTCCTCAGTAGAAACCGTCCATTCGGGCCAGGGCGCCTGTCCCCGACATTGCGCCCAACTTGATGATTCTCCCGATTGTCCTGGACCCGCGATCATCCATTTTTACTCTATTTGAGTGTACCGATTACTATTTTCAATTGCTGCTGCGGTACTGTTTTCCAAAAATGTTTAAATTCCGCACAAAAAGTGTGTTACCACAGGGCTGTTGGAGCTCTCATATGACAAGTGTGTCACTAGGCAAGACAAGACATTTTCGCTAGAAGCTTTTGTCGAGCAAAAAGCAGTGACGAAATTGCATGTTTAAGGACCAATGAAGAAACACAACTTATTTCAAATCATGTCGCTGAATTGTACACCTCTGTCGTATCAAGAGCCACATGCTAGAGCCAGGAGTAGTGTCTGATTGAACTCAATACTTGCGTAAGAAGCTGTAAATGAATCGCGAATGAAAGTACTGATCACCAAATGCTTTTCATTGTATTTGAGTTAAAACACAAGTTTGGCACAAGGATACAATTCTTCCCTTGATTTACAATTTGAGTTTATCTTGGTTTACACATTGGATTAATGGACCTAAACATTTCATTTTCCTCACACCTTAATAATATTAATACAATAATACTATGTCACATTTCCCATCCATAAACATCCACAACCCTATCAGTAGCTTTTGAAAATCAGGCCCCGCAAAGACTTCAATGCTAAAGGCAAACGTTGATGTTCCATTCCACTGGTTTACGCTCAATGGTTTCTGTTGAAACAATCAATCAGTAATAATCACCAGGAATGCGGAAAAAGTATATGATGCGGAATAATCAACAGGAAGTTGCAAACCTTACTATCTATAGCATGAAAGACCCTGCTGACGTTCACGAACTGTCATACTGAGACTTCGCACTTCCTTATCCTCGCTTACCGTTTCAAGTCGCCACAGGCATATATGAGGCGGAAGTATATCACTATAATATAATGGATTTACAGGAGACAGGGTCGTTCATGGCAACTAGACGAGTTCATCACAGTTTCCTGACGTGAGTCGCAATTTTATCAGACCAAATCCAGACACTACACGCGCATTTCTGGAGAAGCGACCGGTTAATATCTCAGAGGCTTTAAATGTCCAGGGCCTGGTTATTCATTTCAACACACATCATTCCACGAACTCAATTCAGACTCAATTCAGACTCAACACTCTCCGGCTCCCAGCCTTCGACGTATTCTCAGCTGAGCTATCTCGGCAGACATAATTAGGACCTGGCTCGGCAACATGGCTTCGAGATCGGCTCTCGCAGTTTCGACATTCTTGTGCCTGGCGGCCTTGGCTGCACTCAGCGCACATGCAGCTGATCCGGAGGAGATCAGGGACTTCGCGCCGCCTGCCAACGGCGCCCCGCCGAACGCCAGTTACTTCACCTTCACTGAATTGCGCGATATCGACGTGAAGCAAGGCCAGTTCGCCAACGTTAGCAACGTCAACGTGCTCAGATTTCCGGTGCTGTCGGGATTGGGCGTGGCCAACGCGCTCCTCGTCTATCCCCCGGGCAGCGTCAACGTGCCTCACACTCACCCGCGCGGCACCGAGACCTTGTTCGTGCTGGAAGGGACTCTGGAAGTGGGTCTGATCGACACCACGCTGCCTGTACCAGTTCTCTTCACCCAGACTCTCTGCACGAATGACATCTTCGTGTTCCCTCGCGGCCTCGTCCACTTCCAGATCAACAAGAGCAAGTACGTCGTCAGAGCCTACGCCTCCTTCAGCAGCACCAATCCCGGCCTCGTGTCCCTCCCGCGCACGCTGTTCGGGGTGCATATCGACCCCGAGGTGCTCACCAAGTCCTTCGAGGTGTCATCCGATATCATCGCCAAACTGTCAGCCGTTCAGCCGTAATCTGGTCATTGCGCATCTGCTATGAGGATTTGAAAATAAAGGGCAGCCATTCCAAGGAGGAGATGGCTGTTGTGCATCCTAAGCACGTACAGAACGCAGCTATGAGCTGGATTCTGTAAGAGGTTACTCATTTGACGCCAAGAAGGATGAAGAGCTCAAAGACTTGCTCAACTCGTCTAAACTCTCAGATCTGATGTTCTATTTTGCTATTCTGGCAGAAGTAGAAGACTGTAAGCGCTATTAAGCGTAAAACTTTGTTTCAGATTCACGTTTCAATATTTACTTGGCGCAGATTATTCTAGCACGTTTAATACGTTCTCTCACTGCCAGATATTGGATGAACATCCTGTGTGAATGTGAATGTAGTTGTTAGCTATCATTTTGTTCTCCGATCTCCTCATAAGCTTTCTTAATATGTTTCAAAACTTGACGTTGTGGAATGCAACCCTCCAGAGGTTATAATTCAATTAGATACTGCATACCTGTGTGTTTGTGATTTCAATATATCTCAAATTCATCAGCACATCTTATGAATTGTCATTCAAAAAGGAATTATTCAAATGCTTTGATCTCGAGCTTCTTTCACTTCTATCTGGGAGATATGGCCTTAGGCCCAAATACTTTGAAATTTCGAGCATAATTCTAATATAGATGGCAATTGACATGGCTTCTGCACAACGACGACTGAAGTTTTTCTATTCTGGGAGGGATTGAGTTTGATTGTCTGTACTCTGTTTACTTATGAATCTAGGTTTTGACGTGTGCTCACACACTAGCTCTTGGTCTAAGGCCATATCTCCCAGATAGATATAATCGGAAAGCTGTCAGCCGTTCAGCTGTTAAACGCATCGGATTTGAAGATTTTGTGCAGCGTTTAAAGGAGTAGATTTGTTATTCTCTCCTTGAGAATTTTTCTCTGTTTGGCATCCCAGAAATGCAGAATGAAAATCCTAGTCAAGGACTTGCAACCAGAATCACATTCCCCATAATATTCAGCAAACGAGGTCGTGCATCCTTTGAAAATTTGTGCTCCACGTAAAGATTCTCTTTAACTCAGCGTCCACACGCAGTCCAATTTCAAAAGCATTCGTGTACCACATTTATACACGTGACAGTTCTGAGCGTGCTGGAGATTTAAAATGCGCTGAGAACCCCGCTATACAAAGGCATGTTATCACGATGTGGCACAAAGAATACCGAACGAAAAACTCTGATAACACCTCAACAATATTTCACAGGAGAGAAATTTGTGCACAGGTTTTGTTTTACCGGTAAGATGCATTCGAACTGGAGTTAGGCCTCCTAAAAAATCTTGTGAAATCTTCTGATCATACAAAGAAGTGACAGAAGCAGATTCACATGAGCTACGAATTTCTGAGCTTCACAGATCGGATATTGTGCATGAGATCTTGCAAAAGCATTCTCTTCAGACTATATCGCTCTCTTGTTTAAACACGGATACTACTTGAAAATGAAAACACATCTTAATTTTTAGTTCCGGTCCATCAGACATTTTTCGGAACTTCATCGTGGGACCTAAGAATCAGTCAGGAATATGTGTGGAAGTTCAACATGAACACCCTCACGTGTCAACGGAAGGGTTTTCATCATTTTTAGAAGTTGGGTTGAACGATTTGCCACACTTGTGCTAAATGGACTCAAGAAGCTGGATCTAGGTGGTTTGAAGTCTTTCATTTGGGAGGCATTGGAGCCGCTAATAATGTTTTTGCCTTCAGGATAATATTGAGCCAAATCATTGTCCACGCTAATTATACCTTCCCGCAATGACTCCAATTGTTGAATTGGATTCTGGCGAATCTCATTCACAACTGCTTCCACATCGCTCTCCCACAACAAATCCCTTGCTAGTTCAGATCTCCTGCTGGTGTAGCTTTCAATCGGAGGCCAAGACTGCTCATAGTGAAGAAACTCTTGCTTCTCCATCAAGTGCGACCAAAGTCAAAGTCAAAAGTCATTTCTTCAAGTTTGTCATTGATGCTACAAATGAAGTCCGATTTCAGCTTCTCGATCAGGATGGCTTTTCTAAGATGACTTGGAATCAGCATCTCCTCGCAAAAAGTTTGGATCACACCGAGCACTAACGCCACTCCGGGACAACCTTTCGATGATGCGCAAAATGATATCAACTCTTGGACGATATGCTTCCTCACATATGTAATAGCCGCCTCCCTTGACTTCTGGCTTGAGCATAACATTAGAATATCTACGTATTTGGAGGAATTTTCACTCTGAACGTGCTCGATATATATCTGATGCCTGTCAAGGAAAAGTAGCAGATAATGTCGAGAGCAGATAACATTCTCCTCTGAAACATCCCTCTTGGATATCAACTTGCGTCTCATGAACATCTACAATCATAGAAAATATGGTAAATCTTTAGTGAGACATTCAAATAATTTGTCACAATTTATGAAAAAGGAACATTCTTTTCATAATATGCTAATTACAATCAAAACTTGACACATACAATGTTTTCTTTGTGTATATGAAACCATGATTGAACCTCACCTGGAAGCGTGGAAAAAAAGCAGCAGTTAGTGACATTGTTATTTCATCTTGACACTGAATCCGACTGCCGACAAACTGTGAAGTCTCACTCCTATTTTCCCAAGACATAGAGTCCACGTCTGTCCCTTCTTGATGCTTTTGTTCTTCCGTGCTTGCATGCTCAGGGATGAAGGAAGGAATGAAATACTGAGAAGTAGTTTTGAGCTTGAAACACAAATCTAGATTGACAAGTATGTTTTCAAGCTCCTCTCTGTCCACACCTCTTTGTCCATGTGGTTGATTTTTCAGAAACTCTTCTATCAACCGAGCAAAGACACTCTCACTCACAAATACGTCCTTGCTTGCGTATGAGCTCATTCTATAAAAAGACTTGGACTCTTGAGCTTGAAAATGTTGACCCAGAGCTATCAACTCACCCAAGAAGGTACTGGTGAGTCAGTTGGGATCAACAATGATGTAATCAAGGTTAGGAATGTATATAATGGATCCAACCTCATTCATATAGGATATGATAGACTCCATTATCCTTGAATGATCAACAAAGTGAGCAGAAGATGATGGAATGAATTGTTTCAAGCTAAAATCACAGAAATCATGAAACTTTTTGGAGTGCCACAGAGGTACACTTTTGTTCTTCTTGGTGTTTGTAACCAAGAGGGAGGTGAGCTAAGAACACAATTGGGGAACCTGTGAGGATTTCTCTCTCAATAACTTGCTAAAATTCTCTAAAATGTAACTGTTGAGGAGGATAATATGCTTTTTCTTCCGAGCATCCACATGAAAACACTCTTGAATAGGGCAGAGATACACAAAATTTGCGAATCTTTGGGTGAGTTTTTCAACTATTGACTGCGCCCAACTCACAGAGCTATATATGGCTTTGTCTTTGTGTGAAATGACAACAAAAACTTGGGGAAGGTCACGTCCCGTGACCCTAATGCTAGATGTGATGAAACTCAACCAATCCTCCAACTCAGTTTCAAAACAAGAATCTGGTTTCTTTGAAGAGTTTTTCTCACAGAAGGGGCTATACACAAAAATAAAAACACATAAATTGTTGGTTTGAGGGAAGAGAACATTTTGAAGGGTACGGAAAATCCATTGTCCTGCAACATCCCAAACTGAGATTTGCATTTTGTCATTGTTTTGCAAAAACTCCACTTCAATCCCTTTGTTCCTCCACAATGCCTCCCATTTCTTGAATGGACTGCTTCTGTGTAGCCAGCTATGATTTATCCTCATCAAGTTGAGTTTTTCCTGGACGTCAAATCACAAAATCCACAACTTGTTATTATATATCTTCAGTAATGATTTAGAAATGTTGAAAGACCCTGAGGACTTGAGCGACATTAGACATGCATAGGTACGTGTGCATGGGAATTGCCAGAGGACCAGGCTGCTCACTGTTTCATCCCATCCTGTCGACAAATCAAAACGCTCTATCTCATGTCCAAGTTAAATTACCATACCTGTGCACATGTTCCATACGTATGCATTCGACCGTGAAATATCTGTTGACTTTTTTCCGACACGTCCCCACCCACAGATAAATCTAAATGGTGTCATGTGCTTCAAGTCATCAGGGACTTTCATCCCTGTGTCCGGTGAAACGATGTACTGCACTAACTAGTAACGATAAATAATACAACTCTCCGCAACAATCTCCACACGCATGAGATTCTCAATCTCTTAATAAGCATGGAAACTTGTAAATGCAGAACTCTACAGGGAGGCTATGCTGTAACAAATTTGAGGTAGACTGACCGATGACCACAATCACTTTGAGAATCAATCTGGTTCGTGGTTGTGTATAAGCAAGGTTATGTCTTACAGGGAAGCATCACAATGGAAGAATGTCGTTCTGTATATTTGGTTTCGACTGGGTCAAATTTCTGCCAGAAAAAATCGCATTCTTCATGTTTGTGTGTGGTCAAAGACCTGGCAGCACAAGGTGCTCATGCTGAAGTTGGAACGACTGTCAAACTCTGAAATCGAGCTGGTCAAAGTAATCTTTTCCAATGAAATAATTCCAAGTCTGAGAAGAGTTTAAGAAGTAAAAACTCCCTTGAAGTACTCGGACTTAAGTAGTTAGAAGGTACTTATGTGAAGAGTTAGAAACCTCGTTATAGCGATAACCTTCAGTGACTTCTTGTAAGCTAAACCTCGTAAAAATTCGTTACTTCATATAACTAACTTCTAACACATATATATATGATACAGATATTATAAGCCAAGATTGAGGCATATTGATCACGCTTGATATATGTTCAGACAATCCCTTTTACAAATTCCATCAACACAATCAAAGCTTGCATTCGAAATGTTTAAGAATTATAATCCTTATGTCTTAAAGTATAACATTGCAGACATTGATAATTTGGAAAGCAATAGCTTAATTTAAACGACAGCTTGAACCACTTTTCATCAAATATGTGATTGATGCATACAGAATCCATTTGTAACTGCAACAAAAATTTTCAAGTTCAAATCTAAAAACCAATTGAATAATAAAGAATCAAGTGACCATTTGCTAGAAAAATAGAATTATATTACCTAGAATTAAATTTTAGCAACTTATGCTAGCTGCATACTACCTCACTTTAGGTATAAAGTGAATTATCCAGTAACACTCTTCTGGAACATAAGTTGTAGTTTCTTCTGAAAGGCTAGATACTTAATCTATTATACCTTAGCTTTTGCTAACACCACCAGAAGAAACAGACTGTGAGAGTCAAGTCATTTTTCTGAACTCAAGAATATTTTATTCCTTCCACAAAAAGTCTTCCTCTTCTAGCTCCAAGTTAAGCCCATTGTGTCCCACTGTGTCACATTTTGATCATAAAGATAAACCTACAGTGGCATTGAGCCAGAGTTCATGACCTTATAAATTCAGACTACTACTTTCACTTTTGCATGAGCGAATGTTATACATCCAAGACGTTTGATGGTGTGCTGGCAGCTCAAGTTACTAGCATTCGACTGACAGTCGCTAAGCACTAAACTTATGCTGACGGAATTTACGTTAGGTGATAAGCTTGTTTGCATGCCCCCTCCATGCCATTTTTATGCAACCAGCATTGTATCTTGCATGTCCTCACGGTTCATAACTTGCTCACTTGTCAAATGTCAGTGATTAACTGGTTTCAGCCGATTGTAAGTTGATCTATGCGTGCAATATTGGTTGACTTTCTGCTGTGGTGAAGTGAATATAGTACAGATTCTGATATAGTACAGATTTTCTCTCCTCGTTCATATAATCTACCCTCAATTTGTAATATGTAATATGAATTTTGTATTTATATTCCATTTGAGCAAAACTGATTTTACGTATCTCTTTTGGATCTGAAGCGGAGAGCTCCTTGCCAAATGATTCGATACGGTCGATGGAAGAGATATTGTTTTGTGTATGTGAGCCAGAAGGTTCATGTTTGTTATGTGCACGACGAGGCCAAATCATAAGCAGCTGGATGGCTGAATGTTCTTCAATTTGGTCTGGGAATGGGACTGCGAGCTTGTGAACCAGTTGAGATATATCTGCATGTAAGCTTCGTCCACCTTCAGTCATTCTCCTACAAGTTTGCTAAATGCATGATAGAGTTGAAGATCAGACTCTGAAGCATTTCGTCAACTTGGGACCCGCAGATATCGATTTCTGAAAAGCGAGTGAAAATCTTCGACAGACACGATGGCAATTGTAGCCGAGGAAAAGTCAGAGAATGGCATCACCGAGCAATTTCAAGCGAAAGAGCTTCCAACTCAGACCGTCACAGAAAATGCGATGTCATATGAAATTCCAGACCTTGTCTTCCCCTACGAGCTCGTTGATCCTCATCCAAAGTCCACAATGCTGATCCGTATGAGTCATGATTGGTTAGCCAGTCATGGAGTGGACCAGCGGCTGGGACCAGAAATTTGGTACCGACTTGTCCAGCACAATACTCCTGATATCTTGACGTACATCTTAGAAGATGTGGATGACAAAGAGTTTCTCTTATTCTGCAAGTTTATGTTGGTCCTGTACTCTGTCGACACTCTGCTGGATGACACTGCCATCGGAAAGGAGTGGAGATATCTTTGGTTCTCCTTCTCGAAGTCATCATCGTATTCATGTGGGATTATCATGAAGATCCTACCTTGCAAGCGAGTTTAACTCCTTGTACAATCTGGTGTCTTCTGAAACGAGCAAGAAATCCGTGGACCTGTTCGAAGCTCGTCTAGCACAAGCGAAGCTCCAAGAAGGCAAGTGCAAGTTGGACACGCGATTTCGTCACTGCTGTTTCTGTTTTCGATTTTGAGAATGATTAAGCTTAGACTGATGAGTTCTAAGGCTCGTCAGGGGATGAAATCCTCAATACATCAACTCAGAAAGGGTACGCTGATTGATTGTGCCACTGCTGTGCAGCATGCGATTTGAAGCTCTCACATGTGGCATTGGCATGGAAAGAATTTTGGGCCGAATACCAAAGCTATAGCATGCCATACGACTACAACGTTAGGCTAGCCCAGGGACTGCTGGATTGGCTGACCAGCTGCTCTCAAGAAGCTCATTTCAGAAGCTAAGATACATGTCCTGATTTGGTGGACTACATTACTTTCCGCAGAAAATGCTCTGATGTAAGGCCCGCCATCGTAAGTAGTGATCTGCTTAGTTCCCAGACCTTCGAGCCATCTCATTAGCAGGGTTTTAGGATCGTTCAATTCCCTGCATGCTTTATCAGAACTCTCAGCTTCATGATATGCGAGTACAGGAGACCAACAGTGAGGTTCTATACTATCTTCTGATGGATAGAAAATGACTAGATAGAGGGACTGGCTGTGCCAGGGCTGTATATTGAAGAAGCGTTGTATACAGCCCTGGCTGTGCCAGGGCTGTATAACAGGTCGTGGTCGATGCGATTATCAGCAGAACGGGACCTGGTATACCAATGGAGCTATTTCATAGTGATCCAATGCAGCGCCTCCTACTCACTGTCACCGATGCCGTGTCATGGGACAACGATATTTTCTCTGTGTACAAGGTTGTATAGCAATCTAAAAGCCTCAGTTCTTCTCTGCCTTCATTCTCTGCTGCTTCAGTAGTGGGCGTTTGTTGGTCATTTTTTTTAATTCATTGATAATATATCAATCAATCGCTGCTGAGGGTCTTCAGCTGTAATGTAGACGTCAAGATAGTCATGTCACTGGAGAACTGAATACAGCTCACTGGAAATGTCTTTCCTATTCAGCTGGAAAAGTCTTCGATATGTAATGTTTTCAGGCTTCTGTCAAAGAGCCTTGGGCTGATACCATGGGCGTGATCTGATCAGGAATGCATTGTGAACAAGGACAAGCATAATCTGGTGCATATCATCAGCGAGGAGCAGGGATGCACCTACAGCAAGGCTGTGGAGTTCGCGAGACAAATGATCGATGACACAATTATGGATATGGAGGCAGCAATATCAGATCTGCGTAAGGCAGCTCCTGAAGGTGCGCTGCACGCAGTGGAGAAGTATGCATCGACATGCCGCAATTGGGTGTCAGGATCACACGCGTGGCATGCCAAATCACTTCGCTACAAAGCTCACCCTTGAAATCTGTCTCGGATAAATCACTCTGCCAAATCGAGAGTCGGGCAAATCATCCCATGCGTGTGCGACTGGTCCTCGATCGTCTTATCTATATTCTGCCGGCTTATATTCTCGTCCCTCCAAGCAGGAAATCCATCAGAAGCTTCGAGGAATTTAATCTCATTTCCATCCTCGAGGGGATCGAAATGAGATTTAATTCCATCCTTAGCGGAAGAAGGTCCAGACGCTCTGTAGCCTGATGTTGAATGGCAACGTAACCAATTCCAATTTCAGTCTACAGGATGTACTGCTGCTCCATGGGTGGAGTGGTCAAACTCCTTTCTTCCCACAGGATGCACAGGCTCCATGGCAGAATAAGTGCCACCAGAGATCTCTCCCCAAATCGTCAATCTCTTACAACATGACTATCACACAGGAGCTGGAATAATATCCCATGTGATAACCCATGCACACGAAGTAGAACAGACGATGTCTGAAGAATGTGTCTGAAGAATGTTCACTGGAGAATGTTGTCTGGATCTCCGCCCCAAACACTCGTCTTTACACTGGTAGAGTTTTTCCAATCTCGTGTACAGTTTCTTCTCCACAGGTCAAGTAGAAATTCAATTCCTAGAACATCAATTCTCGATATTCAGCTCTGGCTAATCACGTAGTCTTGCTACAAACTGCTGTGCGAATACCTTGATACGGAATTGTTAAGCCACATCTGAATCGCACTTCTTCTTCTCGATATTATTGCATCGAAGGAGCCTCAGATGAAGGTCTCAGAAATCGGAATCAATGTTGTAACAATGGACGTACTGTACTCTTTCACATTTCGCAAATTTAACCTTGTGTCCATTTTGCTTGACTCTGCTGTGGAAGAGTTCAACGAGAGAATAGGTTGACAGAATCCGTCCAACTCAAAAAACACATCTGAAGTTAGCAGAAGGAAGAGCAGGGAGAAAAGAGAAAAGAAGTGAAGGGGAGCTTGCAAAGCTAAATGCTACAGAGCTAAATGTGCTTGCATAGCTAAATGCTTGAATGAAGAAGATGGATGTTTGGCTCATCAGATTTATTTGGCTGATTGCAGACACAACAATCATGTCCAGGATTTGCCACAAATTGCCTTCCAGAAATGAAACAGCATAACAGCACAATGTGAATTCAGTCTTGTCCAAACTGATGGCCGAAGTCCAGTCACGTACTCTTTTTGATCTGTGGGATGAGGCAAGCGATATTAAGAAAATAACTAAACTGCATATGGTGTTGCAGGCTGTAACACCGTGACTCCGGAGGAATGTAGGTACTGTCTACAGATTCTTAAATAATAAAAAACAAACAGGAACTGTTACAAGATCATTCACCTGAAGTCTCATGTTCAAGTATCTTCAACAAATACAATCTTTACTTGTAAGTTGAGTACTCACTTCATGATAAGATTATTCAACATGAAACACAAAATAACTACACAAGCATGTTTGCACACTGTACAGAAATTTACAGAAATGTACATGGATAAGTTTATTGTACATAAAACAGAAAATAACTATACAAGCATCTTTCCGCCCTGTACAGAAATGTACGTATTTCTACATAAGGTAGAATCTCAACTAAAAGTAATCAGCTAATTCTTGGTGTGAAAAAGCTTTGTACCCTGTACAGAACTACGGATCCCCTCTACAGACCCTATAATGGCAACTAGTGTTATGAGGCCGGATATGATTCTCAAAGCCCATATCATGGTTAACTCTTTGGTAGAGGTAAGTGCCTTGCCTTTTGATTTTATATACATTGCAGTGGGGAAATAAACAGTGAGAGGGAAAAACGATATCGCTCCAATAAAACCATTGATATCGTTGAAGAAGGGCAAGGCGCTAGCTACGAGAGTGACTGCTATCACAAACAAAGTTCTAGTTATCAAGCGGAACCCAATTAGATTCTTTCTAGGCCAATTGTTGTGTACAACTCGTTCCAGAGCAGCGAAAATTGGCTGTACATAAACCTGATATGCACCAACAAGATGTATAACCACACATATATTTCCTATAGCCAAGATCCAATACGGGTTGTAGAATCCAAATCCGGTTAGAATATTACCCGGAGCATGGATTCCAAATGCCGCAAAACCCAAACAACCTACTGTTGTGTAAAACGCCGTCGTGATACTTATCCCCCATATCGTCGCCTTTTTCATCGTCACATTCTCCATTGCATATTTAGGTGGCCCTCTGACAGTGTCTTGGATTTCAATCAGCACCATGCAGAAGGAATACGCGAACGCTATGTTGCCTAGAGCCTGAAACACGGACCAAGTCTTCTGGGCAGCAGAAAGTTGAGTTCCCCACACCGGACCCTTGGCATGTTTGTTAATTGACACTCTGGCAACGCTCAGCCCCAGTCCAATGAACGAGTATATCGCAGACATGACAGCAGCTACAATCGATACAAACTTCAGATGACTAAAATCTGGCAACTGTGACAGGAATATCTGAATCCCACCGAACAATATCATCCACGGAATGTTGGAAACGTGACAATGAGCCTCGTGACCATTCCTGTGGAAACATATTGCTCTCTTTACTGCAACCATACTGGTTGCACTAGTGACGGTATAGCCTATAGACGTGCATAGAAGATTAAGGTACTGAGCTATAGCGCACAAATAAACCTGTTTTTTTCCCAGATGAGAATTCACCGCATCCATGTATGTGTAGTTTCTCCTTCCCGTCACATGATGCCTGTAACAATCTGCCAACAGCGCCGAAGTATAGAATGTGGCCCATGCAAAGAAAATAAGCATGATAGAACCTACCACCCATCCTAACTGCGCTATACTCCATGGCAAACCCAAAACTCCAGACCCTATGACTGCTGTCACAACATGTGCAGTGGCGTTCAACCAGGTTCCCGTCCTTGCAGGTTTCAGATCATCATCGAACTTGCGACTATCGTCCGCGCCCTCCGAGATCTCAGTCAAATCCATCTGCGTGAAATTGAAAATAAAATGAATAAATTACGTGAAATTGAACGCTGGAGGTGGACGAACGCAGTCAAGTGATCTCGTGACTCCTCTCAAACTAGTAATTATGAGTGCTACTCTGCGTGTGGAAGACTTTACTGCAAACTCTTGGATGTTTTCCACTCCGCCTCCAGTAATACCAGTAATACTCCGACTTGCATCTGCGCAGACGAATTTCTCCCTGGCGCCTGTCCCGGCGCAGGCGTAGTGTAGTACTGTCTAAATCAGTGCTCACCTCTCCTCTCCCAATTCTAGGCATTTGGCTAACCTGTCCAGGGTTCACCGATCTTACCTCCAGACCTGTGAGACTTTCCTACGAGAGAGAGAATCGACATTGATGGGTCTAGCACTCTGCGAGCTACCAAAATCTCTGGATCTGCTAAGGTCAGAAGATAGTGGGGACATCAGTCCAGCTATCCATCAGTCTTGAGGGTGGCACTTGCTTCTGACTGGCAACTTTTATCATGTCTGGTCTTTCCTCAAATCAAGCCGTTTCTAGAGCCTTGACCTGTATCTTTTGTAATACGAGTACTCTACAGAGATGCTATGGAGTTATGCATGGGACTTGCCGGAGGACCAATCTGCTCACGGTTTCATACAGCCTTTTGCTGTGTCGACAGGCTCTATCCCAAGCCCACGTTACATTACGGTCTTCATGTGTCGCCCCTGACTACTTGTTTGAACGTGGATAAATGGTAAACCTCACTGTCGGAAATAAAAATAAGAGCTTTACCGATCAGGTTGGTGGATTCGAAGGGGCTCATATTCAACTCCCTGAGAGTTGTGGTAATGGTATTTTTTGTACCAATACATGCTATAATAATAAGGGCAAGCGTCTAGCCCCCGGCCCTCTTAAATTGAAGCATTTTTGGCCGTGATTAATCCGATTAATCACGGCCAAAATCCAAGCTCGTCTTGTGTACTGTTATCGTAATTTAACGATACCTGTACACAGGTACACAGGTTCAGTCTGCAGCCATTTCAGCGTCGAATCCATACGAAGGTGAAATGGCTGCAGACTTTCGTGAAACGATGTACTACAGTGATTAGTAACAAATCTCGGCTACAATCTCCACAAGAAAGCGATTCTCAATTCTCGATTCTCAAGCATGGAAACTGCTAAATGCAGAACTCTTCAGGGAGGCTATGCAGTTTCAGCACGTGTATACTAAGCAGCGCAAGAAACCTCTTAGAAGTGATAGCACGTTTATTTCAGTGAGTCCCTGCGTCTCACTTAAACTAAGTGTGCTCGATGTTGCTATATAAGAGAAGCTCTTTCGTAGCTTCTCTTATCAAATGTGAATGTGCGAGCGTGACGCCGTTCGTATATACATCGAGGCTCTTTAAAGTTATCTTGCGACGTATCTAAATTTCAAAAGTCTAGAGCAAATTTCATTGCTGTAAACACATTTCAGATCAAGTAGGTGAAGTCTGGACCTTGGGAGATGGTTTTTAGTATTCTAATAAACTCCTTCGCCTACACTGCCTTAACTCGAGTATACAGAGGAAGGATGAAATTAAAATAAATACCTTAGAAACTCTTGAGTAGTGATCGTCTCCCGTATGTCTCCGATATAATCACGTGTCTCCTCAGCTGCTGCCCCCGACTAGAACCACAGCAGACGTCCAGATCTTATAACTCACCCCAAACGCACAAGCTCACAGGTCCGCTCCAGATTTTACAACTCACCCCGCACGCACAAGCTTACAGGTCCGCTACGTTTGCAGTGGGCACAAGGAGGAACTTCGTCGGCGGCGGTCGCTTCGAAATTCGTTTTCGGTGGCAGTGGGATGTTGACTCAAATTACGAATTCGACATGTATTTTGCACCTTGCCGCGCGGTCGTCACCGCAACCTGGAAGATATTGTTGACGATCGAGAATCAGCCACTTGGCACAATTCCGATCGGCGTTTCTGGTTTTTTAGTTTTCCGCAATATTTTCGTACCGATCGGAACGAAAATAGTGATCAATCGCCCGAGGGCGCAAACGATGTGCAGTGACGTCATAGACTTACAGAATTACATTAGTAGGACCTAGCGACAGCACAAAACAAGGTGTACACGTATTTAATAAATCCAATTTATGCGCAGTCCAAGCCTCCTGAACTCCCAACCTCAAGCTCACCTTCCAGCAAAGAAGGAACAGGAGGAATAATCGGTCCTGTGGATATGACAAATTGACAAGTGTCAAGTATTTCAATTCTTTGGGAGGGTACTTGGAGTGAGCAGCGGCTGCCGCCCAAAGACGATAGCTTGATCATCTTAGCGCCGCCCGAACCCTCGGTCTGAGAGGCGGCGGTTGGGGCGGCGCTAAGATGAATCACGAGATGAATTGCTGATTGAGCTCGGGCTGTGTTATCCACTCATTATCTGAACTTACTCCCGGGCACATTGTGATCATTGCACACCATGGGTCGGAACATGGAGGTCTTGCGGCGGAACTCTCCAGAAACGAAAGTCATGGAAATCGCGAAAAGGAGGGTCCGGAATTTAAAACATGAATTCGATGCGAACCCAATATTTCGCCATCACGAGGTCGTCGTATTCTTCATCTTAGACGAATACGGCATCACTTAATCCTGCGGCATAAAGGTGGGTCTGCCTTCTTCCACTTCCCATGGATCATCACGAGAAATCCGCCATGATAGCTCCTGCAGTTGAACTCCCCGTCCGGAGAAAACCAATGCATGGTGAGTAAACGCACAGCAGATCCGTTGATGGAAAAAAGGTATCAAATACATTCGTCCATCAAGTCATATTACCTACCCGAACGAATTATACCACGTTGAGTTATATCGTGATGATCAGCCTAAAGTCTTTGACAAGAAGACAAAGATGTATTAGGTTGTATCCGTGCAGACTCAGTACGAAGTTCTAAATGCTACAAAAACTGCTGTGGTGCAACGCTGCTGGCTAGCCACCATCGTTGCGTGGGGAAATGGACTGACAGATAGACCGATCTAGAAAGCACTTCAAGCTGCTTCTGGGAGGAGTTCTACTCCCAGATAAGCGCAGATCTTGGATTTTCGACTTGACTACCGGCGCATGGTCGTGCCTTCCTCGTCCGTTTCCTGCTAAGGTGAAACTTGGGTGGAAAAGAGGGAAAAGTGTAGCTGTATTGGCTCATATGGAATTGTACATAACTGATGAAGTCTCTCTTGATATTTGATTTACAGGAGGAGAAGTGGAAGGCCTTGTTAGAGAAATTCGAGAAGGAGAAGCCAGGCTCTCTTCAGATTATAGCTACGTATGAAGGACATAGAGCGACTCTGTGTGTGCTTTCGAGTACGTTTTTTCCGAGTAAACACATTTTTGCCTCCACTTATTGATTGCGTTGAAGAGTTAAAGACTTTCAGTGTTAGCATACTTATTTACATATGAATGTGATGTACACTCTGTTTTTGAAAATTTTGTATTCCAAGATGTTGATATGTTTATTACTTAGATGAATGTAAAAACCTCCGGAACAGGACTCCCACGTCTTAATTGAGCCACATACCCAAAGGCTCCATGCTCGCCGCAAGGCATTGTAAGTTTGTGCCTAGATATGTAGATGAAGTTTGTGCCTAGATGTGCATCCATCATATCATAGATGAGAGAAAGCCTTTAGCTATCATTATAGGAATGGAAGAATCTGTGTTAAGTGCAAGGACGACGAAAAACAGTAAGTTAAAAAGCTCCACAATTTAGACACTAGGGACGAAGTAGGTTAAAAAATGTACATGTATTGACGTAGTGAGATGTTTGTTTTGTGCTTGATCTCATTGCCAGATTATCTTCAATCTAAAGTTAGCTTATCAGGTTCTTATTTTCGAATAATTCATCATCTCTCTGAATAGGTGGGAGTACTGTTCCGGAAGTTTTTACATTCATCTAAGTAATAAACATATCAACATCATGGAATACAAAATTTTCAACAACAGAGTGTACATCACATTCATTTGTTAATAAAAACGATGTTAACACTGAAAGTCATTTAACTCTTCAACGCAATCAGTAAGTGGAGGAAAAAAAGGTGTTTACTAGGAAAAAAGTACTCGAAAGTACACACAGAGTCGCTCTATGTCCTTCATACGCACGTATAAATTGATGCCCTATGGCTAGTCGAGTCTACGATGCTCTTCCTCGTGGGAGTGGTAGGGGCTAATGGATATATCTTCTCTTTATTGTGATCTGAAGCAGATCATCGTTGCACCATCTGCTCGGCATAAATTCGTCCCGATGGCTAGTCGAGTCTACGATGCTCTTCCTCGCGGGAGTGGTAGGGGCTATTGGATGTATCTTCTCTTTATTGTGATCTGAAGCAGATCGTCGTTGCTGAGAGTCACGGGTCCGTGTTAAAGTTCAAGTGTTCCATCGATCGACTGACATCGATCCGCTTGCTCACGATGTCATGATGAGGTTTTGCTTTGGCTTTTCGAGGGCTTTTGGAAAAAGAGGTTTGTTTGTTGTCAGTTTTGGACTCGCTTTTCGATGATGGGAACAACAGTGACGGACTTTTGACCAAGCGAGTTGGGTTCTCATCAGGAAGTCGAGGTTTGAGCTTTCATCTTCCGCAAAGCAAATCAGAGCGAAGCAAGATGTGGACGAGCCGGCGAATGATGGTCGTAGACGTGATGTCCATGCTGGCATCTGTGGCAATTTGGTCGTTGCTTTTGGGAGGGGCTGCAGCCTCCTCTCCTCCTGCAGGTGAGTGACGTTCGATACAAGGATAGCTGGTGCAGTCGGAGTCAATACGAGAGTCCCTCACAATATGAAATAGTCTTGAACAATTTGATTGATGATCTTGACGTGCTCGTTGCTGGAGTTGCAGAGGATCTTCGGGCCACCTCCGAGTTCGGCCTGTTCGGGCCTCAGGCCTGTTGTTCTCATTCCTCTGCATCAATATTGGGACATGGTGTCCTCGTGCGAAACCCGCTCGGGTGACTCTGAACGACTGCGAGATGGAATGTGATTTTGAACTTGGTATTCCATAATTTTATATTTTATAAAGACGTGCTTGTGAAATATAAAATTATTTCACAAGCACGTCTTTCCTCGACCCAGAATCTATCTGAAATCTGGTATTATATGCTTGTGGTGTCATGCGTACACCTGAGTCAGCACTTACTGCTATGGAATCGACTCAACGAGCGAAATTGCTGGGCATTTTCTGTACAGCATTGGAACCGTCGCCTGGAAGTGGATTTGGTTTCAATCTCTTCGTTTGGGTTCATCGTTGCATGCATTGGAGAATTCATTTCTTCTAGGTACAGCAGTTTGGCCGATTGAAAACTCCTGGTCTGATGTTTATTTATCACGGGAGACCTCAAAGAGCACCAACATACCTGCGAACGTAGATATCTTGTTTGGAGTGGTTTGTGTTCTGGCTTTTCGTTATGCAGCCATTACGCGACCAATATGATGTCCTGCTCAGTGCGCTGAGATTTTTGAAAGTCATTGGTTCAGGTACGGAAGAAGATCAGTCAGCATGTATCTCACGAAGCCGACGACGGATGGGCTGATGGCGACTGCGCTCCCTTAACTCGATCATCTGCAAGGTAGGTACGTTGAACTCAGAAGACGTGTACCCGGGCTCCGACCAAAAGAGATTCTCCTGTCGAGGTACTACGAGATTGTCTGGAATTGTTGATGTTGTTGAATATTTGTAGCCGCATGTACAAGCTCAATCTGTAAGGATCCTAGAATTGGACGAGACCACCCTGCAAAATCTTCGTTCTTTCGCGGTGTAATTTGAGCAATGGCATTGACTCAGAACTTCAATAAGTTAAGATTCTTGAGTATTTCACTTTCAAAATTTTTTGTTGAATCTTCGGTTTATCTTCATTGCATACAGATAAGATGGAATTATCAAGACATTCAGTAATTTACCTAGGTTTGGCTGACATTACTAGTACGATTGAAAGTAAGAAAGGAAATACAGAAGAGAAGGGTCATCACTGCCCACAACTCGTTTTACAAATCCGAGTGTCCTAGCTATCAACGTGCTGGACTTCCTTACGACTCATGAGATATAATCAGCTCTTGAAAGTGACGAGATTGTTAACCAATGAATGATTATATGTTCATACAAATGTATGAAATACAATCATGGCTTGCAGCTTGTTTTAGAAGGTGGGCGGAAACGCGAAAGCTTAATTCGAACGTCGAGTGCGAGGGATTGCAATCCTGATTATTTTATTTACGAGGAAGGTGAGCGGCAGACCGAGTTAGTGGCGCTCGGACTCATTGCGCTAGTCGATATTGCGGACTTCGCTGAGTGAAGGAGTCGAGCGGACGAGGCTCGGTGAAGCGAGGCTTTCAAAGCCAGGAGTGAACGTGAGGGCATGCGAGAGGTACGGGGATGTTGTGAGTGGGAGGGGCTTTATGATCATCTTGAAGAGTGAACGAACCGGCTTAGCTCTAAGGGAAATGGTGCATAGACCAGAAAGCATGCACCCGTCCACAGTCCTGCCTCGAGGTGCGACTTTTTGACCGAGCTGCGAAGCATGCACATGGAGGAGTCTCCTGCCTTGTGGATCGTCTCTTCCTCATAAAGCAACGCTAAATTCGCTCAATTCCTTCCTATTCCGACTCGGAGCTAAGTATAACCACGCTGCCCGCTGCATCGTCCGCTCCGATCATGTCGATTCTTCTTGCGCTCTCGTTCCTCGCTCTCTTCCAACTGCCGCATCTCTCATCAGCTGTTCCTGGTGGGTACTTCCGGTTCCAGAGGTTCTCGGCTGCGGAATTGCGACAAAGCCTCGGTCTCGAAAGCCTCAAGCTCGACGATCAGGAGTTTTCCAACGCTGCAGTGGCAGAGCTGGTCGTTCCAGCTGATGAGTGCCGCAGCAATCGCGAGCTGGCCCAGCTTTCTTCAAGACACCTACCTAGACGCAGCACGGCAGCAGAAGCAGAAGCTACGATCATGTCTTCTTTAAAAACGAATCATGGTCTCCTCACGCCACTCACGCACTTAAGTAAACAATAGAGAAGGAGGCCCATTCGGGTGTTACATACAGACGACGGCCTTTTGCAGCGTGGTGGTGGTAGTGGTGTGCGAGAGTTGACACAGCCCACAGACTCACACCAAGAGCAGGGACGAGGATAAGATGAGTGAAATGGAATGGAATGGACTGGCACACATGAAGGCGAAGCTATGTTTGGCAATATTTGCTCATTTTATTTATCTCATCTTCTGACCACATGCTGGCTTGAACTCCTCCATGCGAAAAACTGGATTTCCAGTCGCTAGGTCCGCCGAATTCTACCTTTAGAAAATCACTCGATACGCATCTCTTGAGGATGCTAGCTTTTGCGGTTGCTTACGTACTACCGTCAAAATTTTGATTAAATTCACATCCTGTAAGTTCTATGGGACACTGTAATTTCTAATACCGTTACAAAAGTTGCATATCGCTTTCGGATCATCCGCCTCCATCATCATCATCCTTCCTCCCCTCCACTCGCATTGCACGAAGAATATTGGAATTTCGAATCGATTTCCTCGGCGACACGATCCCACATGAGACTCAAAAACAAAACCGTAGGAGTCTGTACATCTTGGCCTAAAATATGCATAGAGGTGACCTCAGCTGGCGGCAAGCACAGCGAGCCGTCTTCATCGTGAGCATTCGTTGGTGGCGGTGGCAATGCTCGTGGGATACATGGCCTAATTGGAGTACTGGAACGATACGCTTCCCTGACTACTGAGCGGTTGGCCATAGTTGACGAGGCAGTCGTTGTAGCGCAGGCGAGTAAAGACGAACGAATCGACAGGAGTCGCCGAGGCCCAGTTTCCGCAAGCCACATGAATGTCGGCCATGGCAAATGCTCCGCACAGGTTCACATTCTGCACGTTGAAAGTTGGAATGCCGCTCGTGGAGCTCACTGGGCCTTGTGTCAGACTGAGACCCCGCGGTGCGCAGCTCAGAGTTCCGAACAGAAGCTTTCTCACTCCACGAAGGGCACTGCCATTCGGATGAGACGCAGGTACAGCAGATCGGTTTCGAGCCAATGGGGCCGTGAATCATACAATACATACTCTCTGGCCTTTCTGCCAGCGGACTTACCTTTAGTCTTCTTGATTTCACACCCTATGATCGAGCTTCCAGACAGACGCCACAATATTCTACTCCAAAACTTCAACACTCCACATCAAGAAGTAGAGTCTGAAACCTTGCTGCCATGAGGTGCAAGTGTAAAAGTGTCCACACCCTCCCAGGCCCACTATACGATACAGCCTTCCTTGTTCTTGAACAAAGAGTTACGGTGACTAATGACGTGGAAGGAAGTCTAGCTTCTTCTGAATGAGCATCGTGTAAAACGTGATTCAATTCAAGTCTACAGGATGTACAAGTAGTCGAAAGAACTGGTACAAGAACTTTTACAAAGCATGGGTGTTGTGAACAAGCTCAATTTCCTCCCAGATGCATATGGTCCATGGCAGAATAAGTTCCACCAGACATTGTTCCTTAAATTGTTAATCTCTTTGTACATTACTTAGCTCTATTGATATTCCATGTGGCAACCCGTACTTGCAAAGTAGAATAGATGTTGTCCGTCGATTGGAAGAATAGACTTTCCATGAAGCCTGAAAATGCAAGATTTCTCGGGGTCGTCCATAAATGTAGCCTCTGGACACGGATAGCTTCCGGTGTCGAATCAGTACGCAGAATTTTGAAGCGGATTGTGGAGAAACAATCCGCTTCGAAACTCTGCATACTGATCCGTCTCGCGTGTCTCCATGAACCAAGACGACCGTCTCTTCAACCTTAACCTCTTGTGAACATTTAGGGATTTTTTGAGCCAAATCCTAAATCCTTTTCCGCTTCAAGCTTCTCTTCCAGCTTTTTTTCTGTCATTTGACCAACGCGTTCTCTTCTAGCATGCTAGGGTCTGAGATTTTCATTGTCTTACTTCTCTTACATTTTGCCCCGCAAGTGTACCTGTGACCAGGGTCCTCAAGCTGTCGTGCGCGTGTGCAACAGATTGCGCTCGTTGAAAGTTTTTTAGTGAAGAATATACAAGATGAGCACAAATATGTTCTAGTTTAAATGATTTTTGGATGGTATTTTAGGTTTTGCTTTGTCATCACCTTAAATAACACCCAAAAAGTCATATGCTTTGAAATTTATCCTTGCATATCTTGAATACTCTTCATTGGAAAACTTTTGACTAGCAAAATCTGTTGCTTCTTCTATCTGGCAAGCTTTTTCAGACCCTTCAAACGAGGCGATATGAAGTATTGTAATTAAAACAAACCAATTAGATTGTTCTCTATCACATCGCACATTTTTTTGCAGATTGTATCGGTAGTGCGATCAAGGTGATGACTTCCCATTTCATATCTTTGACAAGCTTGTAATTTGTGTGCAATTCTAGAGAATCTCAACGAGCTTAGAAAGAGGTTCCATTGTATTCTCTAGATGAGATGATTAACCCTTAAAAAGATTCTTGATTATCTTATTTTGCTACTTTGAGACCGAGACGATAGACTCTTTTGCTTTGAAACCTTATGAACATTTAGGATTTTTTTGAAGCAATTACTAAATATTTTTACTCCTTCAAGGGTTTTTTTGAACCGAGATGACCTCTTTTGCCTCAAGCCATTATGAACTTCTAGGGTTTTTTTGAACCAAACCCTAAATCTTTTTTCCGCTTCATGGATTTTCTTGAACCAAAACGACAGTTTCTTTCGCCTTGAGTCCTTATGAGCTTTTAGGGTTTTCTTGAACCAAACGCTAAATACTCTGGTTGCTTCAAGCTTCTATTCCGGCTTTTCTTTGTGTTATTTGACCAGCTCGTCCTCTTCTAGCATGCTAGGGTTTGAGATTTTAAGAGTTGGTCACTTTGCAGGAAAGTTTGCAAAATATTCAGCACGTGGTTGCTAAGCAGCCCAAGAAACCTCTTAGTTCGCATAGAGTATGTGATTTCAAGCATGTCAAGAAAAGCGCAAAGAAAAGTAACAAGAGTCGAACACTTGCCCAACCAAGTGAATCACGAACTTGAGTTCAAAGCGGATTGTGGAGACTAGATTAGAGACGGAACTTATCAATTATGAACTTTTATCATAACCTATGGACGGAATGCGGGCACTTCTGAGATCGTAAAATGAACTTCTGAAATAACATTCCAACTTGCAAACATTTGAAACACCTGGTTTGGCAAGTGCTCTACTCTTCTTATTTTTCAACGCACTCTTCTTTACCTGCTTGAAGGCACATGCTCTGTGTGGACTAAATGGTTTCTTGCGCTGCTTAGTATGAAGATGTTGAATATTTTGGTACATCCGATTGTGAGGACTAGATTAGAGAAGCAGATTCTAGAGACTCCTCTCCTCATGCAGGTGAGTGACTTTCGGTACAAGGATAGCTGGTTCAGTCGGAGTCAATACGAGAGTCCCTTAGAATATGAAACAGTCTTGAACTAGTTGATTGCTGATCTTGCCGTGCTTGTTGCTGGAGATGCAGAGGATCTTCGGCCTCCGAGTTCGGCAAGTTTGCTACAGGGTCTGCAGTGTCCAGGACTGGTCCAGTTGCGCTGCTATTCTCTCATTCCTCCGCACCAATATTGGAACATGGTGTCCTCGGTGACTCTGAACGACTGCGAGATGGAATGTGATTTTGAACTTGGTATCCATGATTTTATATATCACAAGCGCCTCTTTCCTCGACCCATCTATCTGAAATTTGGTACTATATGCTGTACTAGATGCTTGTGGTGGCATGCGAAAACCTGAGTCAGTACTGACTGCTATGGAATCGACTGAATGAGCGAAATTGATCGGCATTTTCTGTACAGCAGTGGAACCGTTGCCTGGAAGTGGAGTTTGTTTCAAGCTCTTCGTTTGGGTTCATCGTTACATGCATTGGAGCATTCATTTCTTCTAGGTACAGCAGTTTGGCCGATTCCAAACTCCTGGTCTGATATTTGTTTATCACGGGAGACCTCAAAGAGCACCAACATACCTGCAAACGTAGATATCTTGCTTGGAGTGGTTTGTGTTCTGGCTTTTTGTTATGCAGCACTAACGCGACCAATATGATGTCATGCTCTGTGCGCTGAGATTGTTGAATGTCATTGGATCAGGTACTGAAGAAGATCAGTCAGCATGTATCTCGCGAAACCGACTACGGATGGGCTGATGGCGACTGCGCTCCCTTAACTCGATAATCTGGTAGGTACGTCGAACTCAGAAGACCTGTACCCGGGCTCCGTCCAAAAGAGATTCTCCTGTCGAGGTACTACGAGATTGTCTGGAATTGTTGATGTTGTTGAATATTTGTAGCCGCATGTACAAGCTCAATCTATAAGGATCCTAGAAGGGACGAGACTACCCTGCAAATTCTTCTTTCTTTCGCGGTGTAATTTGAGCAATGGCATTGACTCAGAACTTGACTTCAACTTCAATAAGGTAAAATTCTTAAGTTTTTCACTTTCAGATTTTGTTGGTTGAATCTTCGGTTTATCTTCATTGCATATAGATAAGAATTATCAAGACATTCAGTTATTTACCTAGGTTTGGCTGACATTACTTGTACGATTGAAAGTAATAAAGGAAATAAAGAAGAGAAGTGTCATCACTGCCCACAATTCGATATACAAATCCGAGTGTCCTAGCTGTCAACGTGCTGGACTTCCTTACATCTCATGAGTTTTAATCAGCTCTTGAAAGTGACGAGATTGTTTACCATGAATGATAATATGTTCATACAAATGTATGAAAATACAATTATTCAGTGAACCATACAATGCATACTTTCTGGCCTTTGTGTCAGCGGGCTTACCTTCAGTATTCTTGATTTCACACCCTATGTTCGAACTTCCAGACAGACACCACAACATTCTACTCCAGAACTTTAGCACTCCACATCAAGAAGTAGATTCTGAACCCTTGCTGCCATGAGCTGCAAAGTAAAAGTGTCCACACCCTCCCGGGTCCACTATACGATACAGCCCTCCTTGTTCTTGAACAAAGAGTTACGGTGACTAATTACGTGGAAGAAAGTCTTGCTTCTATTCTACTTCTACTTCATTTCATGATCCTAAGGTGGACAATTCCACCTTAGGATCATCCTCTGAACATGACGATATGGCTCGTCCTTCTTTGCTCAATTATAGCAAAGAAGGACGAACACCCTATCAGGTCTAAAGATGAAAACTAATACGTAGCATACTATCCATAAACCGCAGTAGAATCACGATGGGAGATATTTCGTTGTGTATCTAAAATGAAGAAACTGTATGGGTTGATCCTTCTAGAAAAAATAGTGTTGAAACCAAGCATGTAATATGGGACCCCGAATTTGATCATACGGGATCATATCACCCAATTGCATCTTAGCCATCAGAACTGACCACATCTGGCTGCCGATACATTTGGTATTAAATCAGACTCGGAGCGGATATAAAATATGTAACATATTTTGTCACCATTCTTTCAAAAGGTGAAGAAACTTGGATACGCCGACAATTGGACTTCAATCAAGTGCATGGGACCTTCCACATGGAACAAGGCCATTAGTCTCCTTCTGATGGTGAAGGCGAAAGCTGATGGCCAGCAGGACAGCATCGTCCTGAACCGAGCCTCACGGCGACGAAAATATTGAGATTTGTCGATAGAGACCACCGAAGAACAGCTCAATTTGCGAACGACATCATTTCTCATGCGCTGATTTCTCTTCTGTGAAGGTCGTCTCAGAAATCGGCATCAATGTTGTAACAATGGACGTACATTCTCACATTTCACAAATTCAACCTTGTGACCATTATGCTTGACTATGCTGTTGAAGAGTACAATGAGAGAATAGGTAGACAAGATCCGTCCTACTCAAAACAGATGTGAATTCAGCAAACCTTGCTTCTTCTAATCAAACGACTTCTCATCAAATGCCATGTCTGATTTATTTCATGTACAATCTAAACAAAAAAGTGTTTGTTATTTAGCCATCGTTATTTCAAGTAATTGTCGTATCAACCCAAGATCCGAACTGATGCTTTGATTACGACTGATAGCTTCTAGGAAAATTTGACGGATTTCACAAAGTTTGTTTGTGAAGTTATAGTTTACAAATGGGCTGATGCGCAATTATCGTTGAACTACTAGAATTCACATAAATCATCCAATTTGTGTGTCTTGCAAATTTTGATCACTCGTAAATATTTCAAAATTTCTATATTTGGGGCTCTTAAATGCTAACATTCTGCTGTACTTCAACATAATGATTAAAAATTCTTTTAAAGGTAAAAATAAATACAACTTTCTAAAATCTAATCCCACTGAAGTCAAAGCTTCTTAAATCAATATATTTTTGATATTTTTGGATTGAATTGAAATACGTTGATAATACAAAATGATATTATTTTATTGTAATTGATAATATATCATCAATTTCGAGGGTAGTTTGACTCGATTTGATTGAATTCGAACAATTCCAAACTGAGCGTTACAAAAAAAATTTTGAATTTGGAAACATTTATTATAGGGACAATATATAACCAAACTCAGCCAATCATTTGCAAAAAGATCCGGTTATATCTGTCCACAACTCAAAGATTGTCTCTCTTATTCGACACGATGCTCATGTCCTGGTTCACTCCAAACTCAGCATGAGCACCGTGAGCCAACCAAGAGCAATGCATTTTGAGAAACAACGGGGTCTCTGTGGAGTTAATGTGAAACTAAACATCACGAATCGCCACTATCTCGTTCGAAAACAGCACACTCGGAGATTATGTGTGAGAACCTTCACGGCTGGAAATGAAAGTCTGGAGATACAAAGAAAGGAACGATCAGAAACAGCTAACTTGCTCTGCAATGTATGAAGGACTGCAAACCAATTTTGAAGCACTACATTCTTACTGTGACAGCGGGAGAAAGAACAAACTCTTTAGTCACAATCCATGCACGGTATCTCGCTTAAATGCAATTAGTCTAGTCTGGTGATGCAAGCCAGATTGACAGATGACAGCGATGGAGTATGGGCAGTAAATCTTCAACCGTGAAGTCTTAGAGAGGACCCCCAAGCTTTCAGACCCTTGGAAACTCCTCCAGACGAAACCAGACTGCATCCTTCCCAATCAAAACTCAATGCACTACACTGTCTGAAACACTGCATACCACTCAGTTCTTTAACTAGTACTTGGGTTTCGGGGTTTAGGGTTTAGTACTTCGTTAGATAGTTTGAGAGATTGTTGCTGATTGGTAGCTGACTTGCTAGTTATTCATTTCACTCTGAATTGCTCTGACGGGACGATTCCACTAACCGATTTCGAACAAAATGATTCTGAAATTGTCGAGTTTTCTTTTACGAGGTTATTCAAGTGATATTACTGGGATGTTTTCGCAGTTTTTTGACATCGGCGGAACTTCGTGATTGTGAGGACACGGGGTGTGAACTCTAATCGACATTAGTTGTTGTTCTGTTATGTGCAAGATAACTTTGTTCTCCGAGATTTGAATTCTGTGAACCTTGAGTGGCACCAACTTTGCACAAGGTGAAATCATAGTTTCTGCAAAGCCAGTATTTCCTCGTTCTTTCTTTGTATTGCAGGACCAATCCTTTCTCATCTTTGACTTTGAGCAATTTTTTTGATTTGTTCAAAGCAAGCTTTGTGAGTCCACCGAGTGGGAAGCCTGTTATACTGCAGGCTGTACAGGAGGCATCTAGTACAAACATTAGACGTAGAGAAAGAGCGCCTCAACATAACTTTCGCAGATTAGTAGATTTCAAGGTGGATCCCTTTCGTTTAAGTAGAATTAGTTGTCAATTCGTACAGTCGGGTGGGTCCATTAGATCCAACCTATTCTAATATTTATGAGCAGTTACAGATGAGCAGTCAATGGATCGATCGTCCACAATTTACCCTTAGTCATGATGCAGTCAGTAGAGGTCATTCAAGAGTACACTTCGTTGATGCAAGCTCGATGAAAACAAGACGGCTTACAAAAGCTGCAGTGGTCATGATATTTTGAAAGAGTGTAAACTGTAACATGATATCTCAATCAAATCAACAACAAAATCCCTGGTGGGATCTTCTACGATTACCCCCGATAAACCTTGTACTGACCTCTCCTCATCACATTCTGGAAACGCTCACGTGGCCTTTGAGCTTTTGATGGCTTCCCTCACTATAGCAGACAACTATCGCTATACGCCTCAGCTCTACTTCCGACTGAAGCACAGTAAGTCGTCCAATGAGCAGTAAGCCAGTCCCGTAATGATAACCATCCATGCCGCTGACCTGCTCGCGACCACTTTTTCTGCCTAAGTTATTACATCGATGTGATTCTCGCATGCTGGAGAATCCTAAATAATTCTGCCCCAAAAACTGCGGCTACAACGCTGTGCATTTAGTTAAACTACAGGGAAGGATGAAATGAATGGGAATGTATATGTAAGAACTAAATCTACACGTTACACAAGGCCAGCATATAAATGGTTGGCAAATCGTAAGAAGGCGAATCTTATTACGGGGCCATTATTTTGCCAATTCTTTGTACAGCATCCATAGGTATCTCCCGTCCTGGTATGTGCACCTTCAAAAGACTGGAATACCTGTTATACAAAAAGCGTTCAAAAGTGAGAGAGCATCATTCCCAGCGACGACAAGGTCCAATGGGGGGCACTCTAGCAAACTAACAAAGATCTGTTAGACGCATCATTATGTCCGGCCGTCAAGATCCTCTGACGCTTATCATCCCACTTCAAGACTTCAGACATTTGAGAGTAGGAGATAGATTCAAGTTACTTACTCTGAGAAGGAAAACATGGAATGATGCTCTTGGACAAAGGCAACGAGAGCCTGCAAAAAGGTGCCAATGTAACTATCAGTCAAACGCACAAATACTTCGATAATCTTGAAGAACCTGATTCGGCTCATCAACTGCTATCAACCAGGACATCGAAGGACTAAACAACGTCGTATCTATGTTTCTATCCCACAAAAAGATGCACTGTCCATTTTCCTCATCTACCGTAAAGCCTAGCAACTTAACAATGTGATGAGAGAGCCACTTGGTTGTTTCTTGTGAGAACCAAATCTACAAAGATGCTTTACATTATATAGTATATACCTCGAAAGGAAGATTGAGTAGATCATAGTAGGTCCGGACGCGATCCAGTCGTTCAATTACGGAGTTAACACTACCTCCAAGTGACGCAAGTGACTGTCATCACGACATTATCAAAATCAGCAACAGAGGAACTTCTGAAATGCAGGTGTCCAATGAATAGAATAAGTTGATCGTATAGATGGGAAAGGGAAGGACCTGTTGCACAGCTGTGCAGTTTCTGCATATTTGTCGAATTCCGAGCATGTTGACAGCGTTCATTTCATTCAAAGACTGCAAATATCACACCGTTTAGTTCGCTCGGAGTAAGCAAAAGCATGACTAGTATGTGCACAATCCACGAGTGCCGACTGTTCTTTAGATGAAAACACTGACATGATTTTCAAGACAATCTTTGACACTAGGCAAGAGTTCACATTTGAACCATCCAGTGTGTTCCACTATTCTTGTGTCGAGTAGTACTAAAATGAGCAATTTCAGACTTGAATTGTACCTTTATAAAGGTTGCAGCTGCTATGCTACAAATTCCCCCGAATATATAACCGCGCTTGAGAGAGGGCAAGTATGGTGCAATTTCTTCGTCTCTTCTAGTAATCTGGAAGTCCCAACAGATTGGAAGTCAGAAATATATACGGTGAAGAGCATGTATTTATAACCATGACAAAGATGATGAGCATAAATGATCCATATAAGTTTGTATGAACTTCCATCCACATTACTATATGCACCTGAAACCTCCGAACTTACAATTACTTTCAGGTGCACGAAGAACGACCACGAGGAATTAGCCGAATTCTTCCGTATTCTACGACCAGAATCAAAACACACAAGATGAAAGGCAGCAAGTTTCGCTCGAATATAACCCTCCGAGCAACATTCTGCACAATGTCGATATTTTGATCCCGTTTATATCACCCACCTGAGTCGTGAAAGCAATTATAAAATCCTCGGGTTCCTCCGCGTCCTGGTCACACACGTACACTTTCCCAATACCCTACAACAAGAAGAGAAAAACCGTAAGTTAAATCCGCAAGCAAAAGTTGAATCATATATGCTGAAGTCTTTCAACACATTACGACACTCTTCGTGAGGATTGCATTGACCACCTTCAGCTCTGTCCTCCAATAGATCAAGTCTTCCAAGTTTCGATGAGACGACCAGAGCAGAATCAGAAAATCGAATATACATACCGCAAGGTGAGAGATAGCTTGCAGTTGCATTTCCACACGCAAAGTGCGAAGACATTCGCTGGAGAGGGCATGGAATTTGTCAGCAAGGGCACCCAAACCAGCAGTAAGAGCACTGCTTGTGCGTCGATGATGGCGGCGGACTTGATGCTGGTCTTTCCTCCTCCTCTCAGTAAGTCCTCGTGATTGTTGCTGTCCGAGTCTATCATCACATTTGGTGTACTCTCATAAGTAAAACGGACGACGACTGACTCAAAATATATTGAATGATAAAATATCCAAAGAAATCAACCTTCATGATTCCGAACAGAGACACACATAACCGCAACCACTGAAATGAAACAAATAAATCAGCATTTTTCGAAGGTATGACCAGAAGAGTAAAGACGGTATCATTAACAAGTATAATCATACTCAGCCACCATCAGTCAGGCTAACTGTGATAAGCCTAGCCCTGATATATCCAAGGGCATCTATGTGAAGGGTATGACCACCCCCTAAACATAGAAAAACTTCAACCTCTTGTGACTAAGAGAATCTCTTTTGTGAGGTAAAGAATAGGCAAACATGACTACATATAAAAAGCAAACTTACTCTTGGACAGAATCTGAGAGAAAATCCAATGTGTCACTTAAGGCCGCAAGTAAGACAAGTTTTGAATTATCTTTGATAAGTTGTTCCTGCACATACCATCTCCCATTAGCTGTTCACATCTCCATTAAGGGTCAAAAAAAGGAAACACTAGATCCTCGATCCAAAAGAGGAAACCCCGACTGCGGCTTTAAGATGGAACAGAAAAAACTCAAATACTTTGATCAGTAAATACTTTGAAGAACCACCTGCTTGATGGGACGCAAGCTGAGTAACAAATTATTCAGTTCCATTTCCACTTCAAGACCTTCAGCATCCAACGGACCATCCAGAGAAACCTTCTGGCCCAGTTGACTCAAAAATCCCGCCTCTAAAACAGAGTTGGCAGGCTCTTGCTTCATCAAACCTGAGACATCAGGCCTCCCAATAACATCTGAACTGAAACTGCCAAGAACGGCCTGCGTAACAGTGAAGAAACGGTTAGATACTGACAGCGGTGAACAAAGAGTCAATGACAGATTAGCAGGCCATAATTATAAAGCACTGCATGTTATCCGGTGTAAAAAAAGTCTCCAGAAAGCACAGCGCACGGTATGAAAACCTTCGTAGGTGAGATTGCATAATAACCACAGTTCTCAGAGTTCTTGTGATGCCTTACAAAATTCATCGGACAACTAAAGGCATTGTAAGAAGTCGATGGTTATTCCGCACAATAACCATCCACTTCTTCCAATGGATCTAGTTGTCCGATCAATTCTAGAAGGCATCACAAGAACTCTGAGATATACTACAGCTGCTTGCTTCATGCCTTACGTAATTCATCGAAGGACTAAAGGCATTGAAAGCAGTGGATGGTTAGTCACGATAAACATTCACTACTTGCAATGCCTTTAGTTCTCCGATGAAACCTGTAAGGCATCACAAGAACTCAGATATGTTCCAGCTGCTTGCTTCATGACTTATATAATTCATTGGAGAACAAAAGGCATTGAAAGCTGTTGATGGTTATTCACAATAACCATCCACTACTTGCAATGCCTTCAGTTATCCAATGAAACCTATAAGGCATCACAAGAAATCTGAGATATGTTACAGCTGCTTGCTTCATGCCTCTGCTATCACTATTTCCCATAAATACTTCAGTTCAAACTTTCTTCCCAAAATAGAGGAATTTAAATAGCAAGGGCAGCAGGCTGGTATTCTACTTCTCTTTTTTTCAGCCATAAAGCCAAGCAGATTGATGCCAACAACGATTGTGTGAAAAAGGACAGATTAGCATGTCATGTAAAGCACTGCATGTTTCAGTACTTCTCTTTCCCTATGATCTCTTAGTACGCTCCATATCACATCCTCAGTTAACCATTCTTTTCACAATCACGACTATAGCTGTAGACAGAAGAAGTCTATCTAGTATAATCATCCGACCAAACTGCAAAATTGAGAGGTAATGTTACGTTGGGGAAAGTCTAGGGCCATCTTAGGTTTTCATGAGAAGACACATCACTTTGAGTAAGCTTTCATGGAAGAATGTCTCTGCTAAGAGATTAGCGATTCTTATATTTACCTCAGTGTATCCCGCACGACATCGTTCCAGTGTGCGTTCAAGAAGGGTCTGCACTAGCTCCAATATTTCTCCTGCGTACATAGGCATCGCTTGGGCCCAACCTAAAACCTGCCATTGAAAACCTTTGAGGCCATCTAGTACTCGGAAATACATATTTAGTAATGGAACAATCGTAGAGTCCACTGCCTCATCACTAGTTTTCCACCAAAATTCAGAGCTTAAGGTGAAACCATCATTTTAAATGTAATGAGGTATACTAAAAAAATCTCAGGTCAACATGACTTACGCAAATCTCTTGTTAACAAGAGATATGGTTACATGATAATCTATTATTTGCTTTTCTCAAACATAATATTGTCAGTTTGAAATTTATTGGCTCAGATTTGAGGTATGTCTATCCTCCACTTCGTCTGGTTTTGTAAAAATCACTGTCGAAGCATGAAATGATCAAACGCTCAGGCATACCTCCTTCACAAGTTCATTTGCTGCTAGAGGGCCCTGTAAAACTGGCCTTCCCTTCTCGACAGTGGGTTCATACAAAGTTCCTGGATGTGATCTTAAACGGAATGCAGCAGGACCTGTTTGCGAAAAAAATCGAAATAAATAACAATGATTAGGATATAGAAACAAACTAAAATGCACATCGACAGATTTCATGCACATAGAGAATAGATGAAGATCATTTGTTTACAACATAGTCCACAAATTTTCCTGCTTAGAGTAGAAGAGACATTTATTTATAAGAGCAGTTTTTCCAAAGGAGAGAACCTAAACAACTCCTCTTGGATACACAGCTCTACTCAGATAGAAACAAAATATTTTTATGGATGCATATGGTTGACCGAAAATACCATTGGACGTTCATCAATTATTGCATGCAAGGTAAGGGCCACTACGTAGCTCTTATCTCCTCGATAGTGCGAACCAAATTTCAAAAATAAGGAAAACGAGCACCAAGAACTGAGTACTTACTAGCAAGAGCATCAGCTACCCGTGTTCGATAGTCCACACGCACAATGGGAAGAAACTGGTCTTTCACAAAATTCTCAATAAAATTTTGTAGCCCGTCATTTCTGCTCAGGAAAAGCCATATATTTTATTATTAAGTATTGAAACGCTGATTGAAAGAGGTTTTCCAGCGTAAGGAGGAATATGATACAAAAAAGGGTATACCATTGAATAGAGCAAATGTTCCTTTTCGCGAGAGCCGAGTAGATAAAACATATCGGGAAAAAACTATACATATTCGCAAAAAAATTGGATCGTACCCAAGTTGCAAGTACTTTGGAGGAAGCAATGACATCACTTTATCCGTGTACTGCAAACACCCCATGGTAAGTAAAATGGTCGTGTTTTATCGAGTTAACACCAACAAGGCGCATGAGATTAAAAGTATATGACATCTTCAGGACAAGCAAGCAAAGACTGCTCTAAAAGCCTGTGCGATGCAAGGAAACGTGTATTACAAGTATTATTAAAAAAATTAGAAATCAAATTTTCTGTTTGACATGTAAGCTCTAAGGCTCACTTAGCCTGTCACGCAAGCCAATTACAAAAGTTGCGGTACCTGAAGGACTGGACGATAAACTGCTGAAGTGAGGTAGATGCCCCTCTCCGGAAGCACCGAGCCTGTCCCATATCCTTCCTGAGCAGCTGCTGTGATCCGCCTGTTCCTACCACCTTGACTTCCCATGATTTGGTTCATGCGATCATTTCCGGCTATGCAAAACATCAAGGATCGATAAATAGTGGGTGGATAATAGATAACGTACAGTCTCGGATTCTGCTGCTCTTCCTAGAGCAATTAGACCATACAGTTTTACGACCAAAACAAAACAACGACATGCAACCACCATCATCACACGCGCCTCGAATAATCTTGGGCTTAAAGAAACTACAACTTATCATATTTGGAACTTAAAGAGGACAGATTCTTCGATACCTGGTAGAGTAAGGATTGTATCAGTGAACCTAAACGCAAATGAGAGGCCCTCCTCAGACCCTCCTCTCCTGAAATTAATCCGAGCATATTATTAACATAAAATGCCACAACGATAACCTAGAGACAAGGACAAGAAAAAACCAAGTCTCATGCTCACATTGCATCATCCGGGGGCGTTTTGCTCGCTAGCCTTGCAGTCTGAACAGCTGCATCAGCTGAAGCGGCATCAGGTGTTGCACGCAGAATATCGCATATAAGTTGCTGGCATTCGCTCTGCAATAATTTACAAACAGTGTACGAAACATCGTATTTTAGAGAAAAGAAAAATTATATCTATTTCAAAAACCAGAAAAGATATTGAAGAGATTTTCTGGTTATTTTTCAAAATTTTACCATGCTCTCAAGTGGCCTAAATTGTCTGAATCCAAAATGTGTTCCAAGTTTCCGTGATTTGTGGAATTACTGCGTAATGAGAGGTTTTAGGCAAATTTCCTCTAAAAATATCACACCCGAAGGTTGTGGTAGTGGAACAGACAGTGAAGTGTGTTCAAATGAACTATTTCTCCTGTAACAAATGTCTGCTGAACCAGCGGGACTAGTGTAAGGTTACAAATATAGGGAGAGTACACAGCACAGCATGAATCTAAAACTCAACCCAAAACGTTTGAAAAGATCCTACAACATGTCATGTCATTTGAAGAGGAAGACCTGGAGAACAGTCAACGCGAACACCAGACTGTATCCTCCTGTAGCCCTGTTGCTGTCCGAATCACCACCCCACTGCATATCGCCATTGACCTTCTCCGAAAAACTAGCAGCATCTGAAACACTAGCCTTGGCTTCCATTGCCTCCCCAACAACGACATGGTTTTCTGCAGTGTTCAGACAAAAAGAAACAAGCCCAAATCACTCATCCAGACTGATCAAGCTAAGAAAATTTAGAATGAAAGAATGGATTAGAAAGTTCACATACAACCCAACCGGGTTTTATTACCAACTGTTGAAACATACAAGACTGGACAGCCTCAAATAGAGAAAACATAAGAAAATTCACGATAGGATAGCGAGGTTGAAAGTTCGAGGATTCACCTAATATACGCAATGCCAAAGAAAGAATAGACTGGAGGAGTTCCTGAGCAGCAGTCTGGGCCTTGCTCATTGGACCAACTAGGGGAGTAACGGGTCCAGAAGTGCCGTTTGCCTTAACCACGATATTCCCATTCTTTGAATCCTTCTGCTTTAGCGCAGGTCCAACAACGCCGTTTGGTTTGGATATGAGGGCAATACCAGCAGTCACTTTCGAGACTTGATCAACTCGAGGTCTAGACGCCTCAACTGCAGCAGCCCGAGCTTTAATTTCTGCAGTAATAAGCTCATGCAGGGTTGGTCTGAGCCTCTGACTGTAAGACATGCAGAGGAATAATCAGAATCCGAGAATAAAGGGACCCTCGCGAATCATCAACTCGGTTTGAAAAGAACATATCCATAACAGAGAAGTCAAAGAGGAATACGAAAAAATAGAAATAGTGAATACAGCAGGATCCATAGTCTTCATTTCAGGCGAGAACGTGTGTACTTCACCTTATGATAGCACCTGCAGCTGCTATTTTTCCAAGTAAGGCAAGGCACTCAACCATGGTTTGAAGGTACTTGACGGATGCTGTACCATCACTTTTTGTCATGGTCTCCTGCATATTTATGAATTCAAACGTTATCTATTAGTCAAACGAAGCAGGCGCATCTTGTGTAAATGCTTCAGATATCCATTCTAATCATAACAACTGGACTGTCACAGTAGCAATTTAGAAGACTTACAGTAAATTCATTTGGGATAGAATCTGCCAGCCAAGGAGGAAGAACCCTAGTGGGCTTCTTGCCCTCCTTATTTCCAGACTCATCATGTCCATTTGCAGCAGCTAAGGAGTTCCCATCGACACTTCCTCCATTAGCAACACTCGCATCGTCTTCTCTGCCATCCACGGATGACCTGGAAAACATTGAATATGCAAGTGGATTTTCAAGTTTTGTAACATACACTTCTTCCGTGCAGATTCATACAAAAAACATTTATATTTTCCTATATGTGAAAATGTCGGTAAGTTTTCAATTATTTTGGACAAAAGAATAACCGTTACTTACCCATCCACTGAACCACCTTTCCGAGCCTCTAACACTCGGTCAAGGCCAGCAGCTTGAAAATCATGTCTCCTCATTGTCCGCGTTCTGCGCGACATAGACAGAAGATTACCCGTCGGTGCAACCGTAGCAGCAGTGATGTTCGATATGTCGTCATCTTTATCTGGGATGTCGGTAAGATTGTAGCTGCGGAAAAGAGACCACGTCATAAAATTAGCTTACATTGTTTCCAAGGTTAATCACATATTCTGCTTCAGTGAAAGTACGCTGCGACGGTCAAACCAATGGCATTACATCGAATATTAAACCCAAAGAATAATGATAAATACAATTTAGGGGTTTCGTATAGATGTCATACCTGTATTCACCTTTATTGTATACATGAAGATGCAACTCCTCCATGACCTTAAAAAAAAGGACACCACGAAGCTTCGATAGATCTGCACGCACATCTTGCAGGGCACCAACCTATCCGAAGATAGTAAACAAAATATTTCCCTATCAGTCACACCCTCGTTATGGAACGACAGACTGAGCGATTTTTGTAATAAAAGCATCTAATGTTGCTTTCATAATAGACGCTTGCCAAAACATAGTTGACAATAGTATACTAGATCAGAACCTGTAATAGCATACATCCATGTACACGGTTGGTGTGATAACGTGTCAAGCGCTAGTAAGCCTACTGTAGTATATAGAAATATCAAGGTATTAAACATTCTTCAAGTGATTCAAGTGAACTGGTGATTGGACCTGCTTAAGTAGAGCAACACTTTGCTATACTTAAGCAGGTCCAATCACCAGTTCATTTTGAAAACAATTCTGGACTTCTCGAGTGGACCCCAAAACAAGTAGATCATACTTCGGAGTTACTGGCGCTTAATTTCCGGTAGTTTATTAAAATAGTAGAAAGTGTCCCATGGTCTTAGCGTCCCCCACATTCGGAAGTTTCTGCAACCTTGACAACCATCGATCCCACCGTTCACTGATAACCATGAAAACAGTTTCATGTGGTTTTCGGTGTGGCACTCATACACTTTTAAACAATTTGTTCAGATCAACTCCATATTTATGTATTATTGTACAATGTCCACCAGTATGCTCAAGCACATAAATACTAATTATAAAATCTTACCAATGTTATTTACAGTGGATTTACGTCTTCCTTTTAAGTATAGCTTGAATAATCAAGAGGTACCTTGTCTTTCTTCTTCACATCATCTACAGTGGTGTCCCAGATCTGAGTTCAGCATCATGGCTCACACCAACACGTGAAGACAACTGCCCCGTTAGAAGTGCACCAATTCACCGTATCGTTTCATGATATACAGACCGTTTTAGTGTGGTATCAATTTAGTTCCGAAAAAGTGGTGATACAGATTTTTATAAACCTGGTGTTGGAGATTAGGCAGTTAATAAGAGGAGATCTTTGAATTGAAGACTTCACGATTCGAGATATGGTTAATAAGATGTTCTTTTGGAGTAGCCAACATAAAAACTGACTGATGTTCATCTTGTTAGCAGTACTCATTTTAAGACATTGTGACTTGCCGATTGTTTCAGGCATCACAACCACTTGCTGAACGTTTATTCAGTGGGTAACATAGAGAGTACGCAAACAAAGTGTTGAGCTTCTTACTGATTGGATACCCTCCCTCTCCAGCATGCTTATAGACTGAATGTAGAGCTGCACCGCAGCATAATACTTCTTTTCTGCGATCAGCTTCTCAATTTGCGATGGAACCTGTACCACCAGAAAAAAACTTTGATAAGAAATCATCATCAAGAAGTGCTCAAAGATTTTGCAAATGTAATAAACGGTTATGACTGTGGAAGCCACTAAGTTACAAAAAGTTTGCTCATTTACTACATCCAGCGAACAAATTGCTGATTCTACCGAGTCTTCCTTTGCGACATTCGGTACTCAGCAGCAGACAAGAAACGGAGGTACAATCCAAGCAACGAAATGTCAGGGATGTCATAAAAGTTGAATATGTTCCTCACACGGTCGACAAAAGAGATAAGTACCAAGTTTACTTCACCTTGGCAACTCTGTCAATTTGGTCAAGCAGAGAAATAACATGCCGGAGGGTGACTGAACGACACCACTGCTGATGTAATTGTTTGTGTCGTGCTCCTAGCAAGTTCCTTGCCTCTCCTAGATTGGTTTTCAATCCGCTGATGCTCGAGGCTGACTCGCTGAACAGGCGCAATATCTGTATGCAGAAGAGTTGCTTAAGTACTTGGCCAAAACATGGAGAATTAAAGGCAACGTGTGCAATCCCCTGCTAATCAGATTCTTCATGCAATAGTTGAATCCAAGCACCTACCTGAGAATAATTATGCGTTGCTTTGTTGAATCCATTGTGATATCCCCGAACCACATCATCTACCAACTCCTCAATTTCATCCCGTTGTTTTTGCAAAGTGCGAACAGCTCCCTCCGGATCTTGTGACGTGAGAACTTGGACCACATGCGGAAGTGAATCAAATCGAGCCTGCTTCCAAACCTCATCAATTCCTTCAAGCTCAGCTCTCACGACCTGAAACATGAGAAATATAAAAAGGAAACCAGTTCGAATCAGAACTAGCAGTTGTATAAAAACGAAATAAAATAATGGTAATTGAGGTAGAAGAAGCATTGTCTATTATGAGGCATACTGAGAGGAGCAGCATGCCTCATAAGAACTAGGCCAACAAAGGTTACAAGCAACGATGGGCATTAATACAAATACACGCCTCTAACACATTTTAGTGCCATAACGTTACGACCTTTTATGTAACCAATTTCATGAAAGAATATGGATGCACGAAAGCAAATGACACAAGGTGTAAAACAGTCTCCAGAAAACACAGCGCACGGTATGAAACGGGGTCATTTAGTACATGTGGAAGAAAATCATCGTAGGTGAGATTGCATAATAACCACAGTTACAGTTCTCAGAGTTCTTCTGGTGCCTTACAAAATTCATCGGACAACTAAAGGCATTGTAAGCAGTCGATGGTTATTCCGCACAATAACCATCCACTTCTTGCAATGGATTTAGTTGTCCGATCAATTCTAGAAGGCATCACAAGAACTCTGAGTTATACTACAGCTGCTTGCTTCATGCCTTACGTAATTCATCGAAGGACTTAAGGCATTGAAAGCAGTGGATGGTTAGTCACAATAAACATTCACTACTTGCAATGCCTTTAGTTCTCCGATGAAACCTGTAAGGCATCACAAGAACTCTGAAATATGTTACAGCTGCTTGCTTCATGCCTCTGCTATCACTATTTCCCATGAATACTTCAATTCCAACTTTCTTCCCAAAATAGAGGTATTTAAAATAGCAAGGGCAGCAGGCTGGTAATTTACTTTTCTAATCTTCAGCCATGAAGTCAAGCAGATTGATGCCAACAACGATTGTGTGAAAGAGGACATATTTACGAAAGATCTTCCGATTATTATTCATGCACTCGCAGTGGATGCATTACAAAACTGCGGTGACTGTTAACTGAATGTGAGAACAGGAAGTAGGCCAGCTTTGACCTTCAGCACCAAAAGCAGATATCTAAAGCTGGAAGGCAAGTAAACGTACATCCCAATCCACTGATGACGACGGCTCCGCCATGCTGTAGTCGGCAGACACCTAATTCCCAAATTCCTCGCCACTTCGTATCATTCAATTGTATTTGACTTCAGTCAACTTTATTTACAAAAATCTGCTGTATCAAACGAATCTTCAAATTATGAATATTGATTCTCAAGCAAGTAGAGCAGAAAAATGCGACGTATCAATGTTGTTCTGGTGAAATTGTGCTCGATGAACTCCCGCCTAAGTTAAAGGAAATACTGATTCCCAGTTAGCTCTGAATGCGAAACACAATATCCTTCACAAATATCTCACTAGTCATTAAACCCGTCCAAACCCTGCACTCATATCGTCCCATATAGTCCTCTCCTCCATCCAACTCTGCACTAACCCGAACATTCACCGCCGCAACTTCAAGTCGACAAACGAAGCGTATCAAAAGTATGCACCTGCAACAACGCCGGAGCGGCAAAAGAGTTCGCAGCGTGCTCCTCAATCCACCAGCTTCTGGTCCTAATCAAGATCCGCCCGTTCCAAATCTCTATCTCAACCACTGACCTCAATCGCCCTGCTTCCCGGCCTCCTGGCCCGCCCACCCGCTTCCCTCCCTCCCTCTACGCTGTGCTCCCAGAATCATTCGCCCGAGACGATGATCCTGCTCGACAGATCGACAAGGTCCTCCTCGACCACTACACCACCTCTATCAACACTAGGCCCACAGCGCCACCCCTGCCTCGATTATCCCGTCGACGATGGTCCTTCAGATCGATCGCGCCTGGCTTGCACTTGCACTGCTGCTCCTGCTGCTGCTCCTCCTCCTCCTCGTCCTCCTTCCGACCACGGAGGCAAGAGGTAGACTGACATTCCAATCTCTTCGTTTGGTCGCCGCTGCCGGAATGATCGAAGGCCCGAGCCTCGAGCTTCTACCTTTCCCGCTGCCTTGCCTTCGCTGGCCTTCGCTTCCCTCGCCTTCCCTTCCCTTTCCCGTCCCTTCGACTTTGCCTTCGATGATGGATCCAGTCAGGCACGCACCGAGCTGCCGGTCGCTCCGGCCTCCTCTTCCTCTCTGCCGGTTTCCCACGGATCGTTTGCTTCTCGTGCTCCACCGGAATGACCGGGCCAAGAAAACCGGGCCAAGATCTCTTTTTCTTCTTTGGGAGAATGTGCTTAAATTATCAAACTACCGATTCGTGTTTCGAAGCAAACTGCGAGCGTTATTTTTTTTCTAATAAGGGAAAAAAATCCTATTTGTTTTGGATATAAGATATTCCGTTTCGCATCATTCGAGAAAAAATGCTTAACCAACAGAAGTGATTGGTGAACGATCCAATAAATCATGCAAGTCCCATTTTTTTGCGAGAGGGTATTCCGATTAAATTTTTCATTTGTGGAAGCTGGACACTGGACATGCAGAGTACAGTTGTAACGTGGGATATAATATTCCGGACTGGTTTGGTGATACAGTATTCCAAAAATTAGAGAGGCTTAATGGAGACAAACACTCTTATTCCTTGTATGGGACTCATGCGTAACATTCTATACCTCGCTATGCAGATAAGCCGAAGGTAAATGAGCAGATCTTTCTCAAGATGTTCGCTGCGATTCGACTTGAAATATAACAAGGCGTAACATAAGTGGTCCAGTTTATGGATGTACATGGGTAATCACTTTGGTACTTTGTTAGAAGATGGTAGATACCCTGGGTTTGTCTAGCAAGGCTAAAATCCTATAATTTTAAAGTATTATGTATCTGGCACTTATATGTTCTTTTCAACTAAATATGCCAAATTCTAAATGAATTGATCAAAAACATATTCTATAGTTACACCAAAGAGTTAAATTTACGACAATATATTTAAGATTTACATTGTGCATATCTAGATGCTAAATGTTGACTCTATTACCGACTTAGTTTTATGTCATCTGAACTTCTGACAGTATTATGCTCAGTCAAACGGCTGTTTATTAACCAATTTTTTTGTTGTTGTTAACATGTATGATTTATTCTTCCATTCTTTGACAAAATAATAATTTAATTGACTTTAATTTGGAATATTCATTGCAAGAAAATGAGGTACATATAGGACCATATTTTTAAATCAATAATCGTAAGATTTGTGTAATAAATATCATCCACATACTTATTGTATCAAAACATACAATTTTGCTACATTATAACATACGAATTGTCATAAAGTAATATACCTGGAAATCAAATTCCAACCAAGTAAGATTGTAAACCATGAGATGAAGTTATGATTGTAAACCAGATTTATTTCTCAGATTTTTCCGGGATATTCGACTTCTCGTCACGAAATAGAAAATGAGACTAAATCTAACCAAATATATGTGATTTGAAAGATTCTAAGTAACTACAGTATCCCTAGATTCAACGCTGTTGGACTTTATGGCAATTCCAATATGAACGATCTAACTACAGACTAGATTCTAAGAGTTTACCACTACAATAAACTGAAACATTAGATCAAATATGTCTCTCGTAGAACAACAACAAGACTTTTTTTACAGGAAAATTTTAAAAGCATTAAAAGATTCCAAAACCTTTGGAGTTTTGGATAGACTTTTTGTTAAAGTAAGAGTTCTATAATTCACATAGATATCGGGATATTTAAACGAAGTAGAGTGACACTCACACACACGGAACAAACCAGGAAACACACGTGGTTCACCCCCTCAAATTTTGGTCATGGAATAGATGGATTTGTGAATTTCTGTCGTAATGACAAATTTTTGCGAATTAAATTTCAGATACATATATATGATAATTCAAATGCAACAATATATTGACATTAAAAAAGGTTAATGTCATAGTATTGAATTCCAAAAGTTTACAACACGAATATGTATAGTTTGAAACTTGGAATTTGTTATTATAATAGGGTTTTGACTATTTTCAATTGATGAAAATCATTTGGGCCTAAAATGGGCCAGAGTCATGTGATTCATGTTCCCAACCTGCCGCTTTGGCAGGCACGATCGGGTCCCAGCTTCGTTACTGATCAACTTTACGATAGAACATGAAGGCCGTGACCTTCAACTTCTCAGACACGTGTCGAGCCGTAGCTTCTGTGCATGTTGGGGAGGGTCGAAGACTTAAAAACGCCGAGAAATTTGCTGATTTGGCCTCCATTAGGAATTTCTCTTCTCGTCAGACAATTCTCCTTCCTGCACCCACAATAATGAAATTGATGCTGGCTTGCTGGAGCTGCAAGCAGAGGCACCGCAGTACTCGGTGGTGATCAAGGGCACAATGCCTCTTTCGTTTTCTAGAGACCTGTGTAGACCACTTGTGCACGATTTGTATCTTCTCAAAGAAGCCCTTGTTTGCTGCAGAAATGATTTGACAATCTGCTCTGGCTTCGACTGAAATTACTCGAAACTAGGACCATGGTGCTGTAATATACACTTCTGTCGCATGTTTGATCCATGTGGATTGCGATCGCTGAACGTAAAGATTGGACTAGGCTTGTTGTGAGAATACACTGACCTCAGAGGTTTTGCACACTGACACCACAACACACCGGAGCTTTGAAAATGTTATGTCAGGAAGGCAATCGAGTCTGCGACGCAGTAATCATTTTGGTCGATACAGAATCGCAACACACCCGGCCGATAGGAACGGAATGCTTGTAAGCACGCATGCAATCAGCCAGTTCGATGAATCAGCAGGAACATGGAAGACATTGGCAGTATACTACGCGATTATCGGGTCCTTGCGACACCTAAGAACCGTCGGCTGTGAATCATACCGATGACACCTGTTGAAATTTGTAATGACATGTGACGTTGTCATTGTTGGTTTTAGAAAGTTCTGCAAAGACTGCACTCCGAAAGGGACTAAAGAGCTGAGGAGAAGGCTTGATTGACAGCTTCACTTACACAGTCGGATGTGGAGTTCAACAACCCTGGCGCCACGCACCACATGGTTGTCTTTCTGCTGTAGCTTCTCTGTTTGGGAATTTCCTGTAACGATTCTCTGTACATGCAGTGCGTCTACTCGTCGAACCGGGTGGACCGCTGAGCTACCTATTTAGGGTCAGGATGCCAGCAAGTGATCCTTTTGACTGAAAACCGCATCCTCCAAGCACAACTGCGAAGTCCGGATCATGACAGAGTTCAACAGTGAGCATCAAGGTTGAATTGGAAAATTTCCAGCAGAAAAAAATGCAGTGTTTGTTCGACTCTTCTCATAGCTTGAGTCGACCGTCAACGAGAACCGATCGGCGAAACCCTAAATTTGAAGTTCGGGAGAACAGGTCTGAGCGTCTGCGCATTCATCCATCACATGTGTACACAGGGCTTTACCACAATTTCGGGCGACAAGAATTGCCGAAGTCAAAGGTAAGACCTATCGAAGATTGAGATGAGTACCTTTTCCACTGTTTTGAGGGGACTCGAGGGGAGATCCCGATGACTTCCGCAATTCCAACTGTCATTTACCTCGCGATTAAACTGAGATTGGAGAAAAATCCGACTCATGCCGCTCGTGCCGATACTGCAGATGAAGCTCTGACTACTAGAAGGGTTGAGACGATAGTCTCAGGGATCCAGAGGTTTTCTGCGAGGAGTTTGTTTCTTCCGGGGTGGACTTCTTGCGGGCGATACATGATCGTTGCTGTTTTCTTCAACTTCCATTTCCGAATTCAATTCACTATCTGACTCAGGGATTTCCTCTCTCTGTCGCTTTTCACCAACATCTGTCCTCGGAAGGCCTGAGGGAAATGCAGTTGGTATCATCATTCTTTTCTTATGCAAGTCTTCTACATCTGATTCGGACTCATCACTGCTTGGCTCGAAAATTTCGTACTCTAGATTCGAGGCATGCTCTTGCTCTGGCCATGGGTGAGATGATGCCACCAGAGCTTGCGCATACCCTTCGCTACCAAATTCTCTCATAATCTCATCCTCATCGTCTGTAACTTCTACAATCTGATTTACTCCCTCGGCTCCGGTCTCATGCGCAGCCTCTGGTTTCTCATCGAGTCTTGGATCTAGGTCGTCACTTGCAATCTCTACAATATTTTTAGCACCATCCGCTTGGTCCCTGTTTGTTGTTTGATTCGCATACCTTCCTTCTTCTCCGGCATCCTCGTTAGTGACCTCGACAATTTCATTCACTCCCTGCACGGGGTCCTGGTTTGAATATTCCACTATGCTACCTTCCTGTTGCAATTTTGCCAGCTCCCGTCGAAATAACTCCTCTTCCACCTGAAGAATATGAATCTGGTTCGCAATTTTCGAGTGCATAATGTGCAGAGTGGCTGCTTCGTCCTCCAGAAGTTTTTGAAGTTCTGATGATTTTAGGTGGTCCATGGTGCAAAACCCCGACACGAGCTGTAATTGAGTGAAATCATTAACACCTCGCCTTCACGAGTTCAATCGGTGCATAATCCCAAAACCTGAAAGTGGTAGAATTGTGCATCCAACGCCTTCCGCCATCGTGACTGCTAGGAAAGTCTGCAATCTCACCCAGACCCTAATCTTTCGCCCTCTCCTCGCACCCGAGCCACCGTCTGAATCTCAAGCTTCCACCTCCTCCACCTCGCAAAACTAGGGCACAACTGCACAATACGATTGCGCCGAATTGCACAGAATCACCTGTTGAGATGACCATCTCCCGTCCGTTTTCCGCCTCCCCAATACACGAAAATCGACCACCGCTGCACGGTCGGTACTTCCAAAACCGCGGATCGGTCATTCGAAATACGAGTCTTTCGGTCGCGCCCTGGTCACATTGCTGACTTTCCAATCGGCGTCGAAACCCTACCCATTCTGCGCACAACGCTTTGCGGCTTGCGGCCCACCTGAATTGTCACCGTCGCATTCCGCTGGAATATTAGGGCAAGCAACCCGCAGCAGCGCTCGCCTCTGCTTGCTGCCCGGCATCTTTCGACTGCTTACTTTTCATAAGCAGTCTCTCATTTCACTCCTGCAGCGTTTACTGCTCGGATCACGTCCACCTTCTGCAGATCGTCTCCCCTCTGCAATTCTATGTCCAATAGCCGACTGTGGTGAGAGGATTAGGGTGTCCTTGGACATGGTGTTCTAAAATATTGAGCAATAAAAGCACGATGGGCACTGTGGATCCGAGCCAGATTCGTCGGGGGATTCGGAGAGCAGACACTTCATCTAGTGTGCTCCCTAGGCGATGCAAATTGCAGTTGCAATTTCAGATTGCACTAGCGTCTAGGAGAAGCGATTGTCTCGTGCTCGAATATGATAGGCAGTAGCTTCAGTTTAGCGTGGAAGACTGAAGGCTGATATTGAATTATGTTCTGGAACCCAACAGATCAACTCAGGAGATGAAATCAAGTATGCTGGCCGCAATTGTAGAATGTCCCAGAGATTTCGAATGGTTTCAGCATATGTAGTTCAACACATATGGAGTGAATCAGTCTGTGACATTTATCGACTGAAGCAGGTGACAGGCCCTGTAAGAGTTTTTTGAGTTGTTCGCAGATTACCATCTTCATTGAGGTGATTATTAACAAGAATTCGGATGGTGGATTGCAAGGTTGTTTGAGGCATTTGCGGTAGAAGATTATTGGAGTCCATTGATAATGCAGACCAGACGAAACAAAAGCAGTTTCCAACACCTTCTGACGAGTGTCATTGATAGATATTTGATGAGTCAGGACCAGGTCTCAAGGTGACTCTTGAAATATCAAGTTCAAGATATACCAGGCCTCAAAGATCGTTCACGTCCCAAGTCACCAGGGATAGAAGCTTACAGCACCTCGCATGTGAGATGAATACTCCTCACCGGTAGAGCTCTCGGTGACGAGGGTAATTGAATATATGACTAGAGTTCATAAACGGAGAATGCAAAAATTTGAATCTTGACTCGATAAATCTCCGGAGGATACGCCAAACTGATTATCACCAAACACGCACAACAGAGTGGACAAGAGATACAGTCGAATGAGGTTTTATAATCTAGATCCGAGAACAGAGGCACATCGATACAGAGATCAATTTCATTCCATCGCTCGTTCCATTCCTAGAGGACAGTTTGGAACGGGATTAGTCAGAGGTTTAAAAGTTTGTTGCTGGTCACAGACTGCACGAAATTGGCAAATAATGAAATGACCTCGGTCACAATTGGACGAACTTTGGAGAGTCACCAGGTTTCTGAACACACGTAACAGGGATTTCGAGCTCTGCAGGTCTCACTTTCTCACCAGTCAGGCTATTGCTGTTTTCGCAGTCTAAAACCTCCTATGAACATGCACAGGCGAACCTCGGATGTGTGGTTCAAAACGTTCAAGCATATATGCCTCGATATGTACAGAATTGTAGTTCTACTCATGGGAATGGAAGAGAGTTGCAATACTGGGGCAGCAGGTTGTGGTCATATATACTTGCAGAGTTAGAATTTGGAAGGAATTGGGTCTATCACGAATGAGACATATGAAGAAGCTTACAGATGAAACCTAGAACGCTTTCGAGAACACGAGTGACACGCTTTAGACAATGAGCAGGACTTCTGAGGTGCCAAATTCCAAGGACTGCCTTCTGTCAGCTGTAAGACATTCAGTTTGTCAAAACTGTCAATAGCCTGCTCTCATCTCCTCAATCTAAGATCGCATAGTCATTTGCAGTGGAGCATGAAAACGTTTGCTTCTCGCACAGTATTCAAAGAGAGAAGACCACATTGTACTCGAAAGAGATTCAAGCTTTCGGTACAATTCTGCCATGGACGAAAAGAAAAACTCTAAAGACAGCGAGGTTTCATTCAGGACAAACCTTAAACGTAGATCGGTCCCTAGGACAAGTGTGTATAATGAGAAGGGACAGCCCCAATGACTCCGACAGCCCAGTTGAAATAGAAGAGGAAGACAGAAATGGGGTACTTCTGTAAAAACCGTTTACAAGGCTATCGACTCGAGGCATCCACAGTCAAAATCTGGGAGTTTCGCCTGGTACCTGTCAGTGGTACCAAGGGCTTTTCAAGTGAGATAAGGACCCTTGGCTTCAGCAGTCCCTGAGCAGATTTTGCCGGGCGAGGGTACATACATGCAACAAATCTTGGGGTTCTTTCATGGTTGGAAACATGACACGACGTCTTCACCACGGTTCTGTTAATCTCGTTATTTCTTTCAAACTAATAAGAGTCTGTTTCGAGCTCTATGGAAAAGAATGACACGTGGGGTATGTACATGCAAGGTCCCGGGCCGACTATGCGATCAGGTTTCAATCATCTTTGAGACTGACATTATGTCAATGGGATTCTTCGATAATATTTTCTAAGGATCTGTCGTTGTAGCATAGAGGCATCGTGGTAATTCCAAAAAGAATTTAACCTAAGCGAATGCCTTTCTGATATAATATTCTCAGAACCTCTATATTGCCATTGATTATTATCACTTACAAGCTGAAGTGTTTGTGAAAAAAATATTGTTGTACATGGAGGCGTTGGTCCTTTTTATCGTAAACATTTACAATGAACCAGAGAGTTGACAGAGGAAAGTGAGTTTTCTTGAATCAGAGTAGCAAGGAGAATTGCATCAGGAATTGCTTGAGCTAATAATGGACGATCTGGTAATTCTCGGGCATTGTGTATACGAGATTTCAATCACGACAGACTCTTCAGCTTTAAATTCTGTCGAAATGTCGTCATGTTACTGAAAACTAGTTTCAACTCGTGTGCTGAGCTCGTGATCTCACCGTGATGAGAAGTTTCGTGAACTCTACATTACTTGCTGGCCAGAGCATTGAAGAATCGGGATTCGAGACATAAAAGCAGGGGTTCAGATCGGGCATAACATCAGAGACTGTGGTCGGGCACCAGAGAAAAAGGTGAAGCATAAGAAGGAATTACAGTATTAGAGGACCTCGAAAGCAATGCGTGAACGACATAGACGAAGAAGCAATCGCTCATGAAGTTACAATCACCGAGATAGTCGTCACATGCAAGTGAGAGAGTGGCCAACCACGAAACTGTAAGTACTCCCTGTCTTCGCAATGGAATGATCAAAAGTCGAATGGAATCTTCAGAGGAAGCCACCACTGGATGACAGAAATGTCACAGGAGCGGTCGGAACACCTTTTGCATTTGAGCTGTCAACATCTTTAGTCGGACATTTGTGAAACTTCAATAGACCTCGACGTTTCTCTGGACAACCGAATAGCGCTCGTCTTCAGTATGGACCCATGATCCGCAATCTTGGTGTACACATAAGATCAAGGAAGCTGTTGATTGCAGCGAAGAACCGCGGAGAATCTCTCATGAGCTCGAGGGAAGTTAATCAAGGGAATGGGAATCATACGTGAATTCGCAGTTTAGATCCTTTCGGTCCGAGTATCTTACACAATCTCACACTGAATAATGGCCTCCAATTGCACTCTCCCCTCGAACGAGATCTTCTGATGTCAAGGCCAGTCTTCTTTTACGTTTGTTCGGGTTAGATTTCTACCACGTTCTACACGCAGCGAAGTCATGTTTCAACGATTTCAGTGGAACGGCGAAATTCGCCAGAGCCGGTCCATGAATCAGAAGAAGCAGAAGAAGCAGAAGAAGCAGAGAGAGCCAAGAGCTTGCAGTCCCTCGACTGCTGCCTTCGAGCGTGAAGAGGACTCACACTAAGAAAAACTTCACATCTCGGTTGATGAGCGGGCGATTGGTTTGGTTCGTTGAGTTTGTAAGGTCAAGACTCTCGAGGCTGGGCTTCATGCAAATTGCAGGAAGAAGAGTACAGTACGTCGGAATGACGTTCTTTCCATGTTCATTCTGGCCATGCCCTAGTTTCACCCCACTTCGCGATGACGATTTTCCGCCTAGAGAACGAGTGCACATCTCGAGATGATGGAGACATGTCGCTCTATGCAAAGCTTCCGCTCGGACAGAGACGCTTCTTTTGGGGGGGGGGGGGGGGGGGGCCTCCATGTAGAACATGATAGCCCTATAAATTCCCTCGAGCGATATGCTGTCCGAGAAGAATGCATGCTGTCCGATTGCTATTCCCCTTTCTAATGGCCAATTTGCAACTTCGAGTCACCGCGGCTCATGAGCGTGACATGTCTCTTGGAGAGGAGGCGGATCTCGAACGCTTGGAGTATACTCCAGCGCGGGAAGCATATTCTTCGTGATCTCGGGCTCGTCCGGGCTCTTCACTCCATCCAGCCGGAGTAACATTCTGCCACACTCCCCCCTCACAGAACACTCGCTGGCCTGGATGAGCTTCGACTTCCGAGCGGCCCAGTCTGTGGCTCAGCTTCCATAGCTCCGTCTTGATATTTCGGTCTTTGTGTAGACCACGTGACATCGACCGGGGCCCGATTTGGACTTTTCCATTCGCTCTATTTTGTGGATCGGTGCTGCACGTTTCTCGATGGTCAGTGGGTCTTCCTCCCGGCCTCTCGATCTGCACAGCAGATCGAGAATGGTAACAGACGCATTCGGCCTCGGGATATTACACGGACGGTAAAATCGACTCCGTGTTCGGATTTTGGTCGTCTTCAATTCAATTCAATTCGAGTCTAATTCCCGCTGACAGACAGCGTCAGTCAACTTACGCGCACAGATGTAATGCATGATCTCGCAGGTCTAGATCGTTTTGTTGTCCTCAATTTGGATTCTTACGGCCTTCCAACCTTTTTGCGTCTTCTTCCTTAAGGAGTCAGAGTCCAACGAGGTCTCCGAGTCATGTCCGGTTCATAATTCGGGCCCATTCTCAAAGGTCTCGCCCAATTTCAACTGTTGGGCTCAGGTTATAACTATTATTGCGCAATTCGACTGCGGATTCGAGCTACCTCGTCATCGATGGGGTGAACCGACTCGATCATCTGGAGAAGATGATGGTCAGCACAGACATCGGAGCCCCGCTCGTATCTATGTTTCTGGTACATAGCGGGAGAAAGGCAACCAACGAAATGCGTGCACGACTCCGCCTCGTCTCGATGCGCACTGAGCACTGAGGACTGAGGACTGTCACGGCGCACTGGAGGTCTAAGAGGATGTGGTCAACGATGCTGCATCTGTGCGTTCGTCACTCGCTGCAAGGCAAGGCCATGCCCTCCGCAGCGTTTGCTCTGCGAGGTGCTTTCTTACTCACTGCGCTTTTTTATCCGCCTCAGCTTTCATCTTTTGGGATTTCATAGCCGTAATGAACATGCAGTTGACTGGACCTCTTTGACGAGCCCAACAGACACACGCCCCTTGAGAGGGCAGCTTGCCCTTGAAAAAGTCTGGACAGTACGGCAGCTCCAAATTAAAGCCTGAAAGTCTAGCGAGGGTCTTCGAGCAGATCGTTAGCCATCTCTCGCCGATGATATCTATCTCTCCGCGCTCAGACGATCTGGCCACTCCTGCCAATAGGTGCCTCGAGCGCGTAATCTGCTGCGTTGCCAACATCCATCCATGCAGTGTACATGCAGTAGTAGTAGTAGCTCGCACTCTCGTGGCTCCCTAATCCGGAGCAGTGGCATCGTGCTCGTCTCTGATCTGTACGAGAGAGCTCCTGATGAGCCTCAGCAGCTTTCGCGCAGCAGCGCAGAGATGGCCTCTGGCGTCCGGGAGAGAGCCGTAGCATCGGGATGGAAGGTTGGCCTGCAGGGAAGACGACAAATGCGAAGCAGCCAAGCACCTGCAAATCTCTGACAGTGAACGAACTCGACGACCAGGCAGTAACTCAAAGATGGACTTCGGCTTAACTTCATCTGGTCTTCAGGTCGACCCGACCTCGTCCGACCATTTTCAAAACTTGCCATCTACTTCAAAGATGGTGCCAAGCGCTCTGATATTTTTAGCGCCGGGCTTAACTTCATTTGGCAGTCCGACCGCTTTCAATAAAAACCTTCCTCTCCGAGGAATGCGCACGCCTGCTCGGCATCGAGCAGGCGAGCTCGGCCCCGGCCCCGGCTCCCAGTGGGCCCGGCCTCGAGAATCCCGCATGGCAAACTCGAACCTCATCCAGTTTCCGAGCATTTCATAGTCTCGAGTTACCGACGACAAATCCTGCCGCATCTCGTCGCTCCCGCTTCCACTTGTCGCTGTGTCCTTAAAGATTGAGTGAGATCCACTTGGTTCCGGCATCCCCCTCAGCACTACAATGTATGAGCCTGCTGCTCCGACATCGGACCAGCGAAGCTAGACGCGTGGAACGCAGCGCGGTGGCGAGTGTCATTCTGAAGGATTTATCGAAGGGAGAGGACGGGATTGAACGTATTATTCAGTGCTCCGATTCGCCCGACGACGAGCCGTCGGGTGAATTTGGTTGGCCTTATTTGACTGCTGGCCCCATTCCTGAAGGCTCATTCGGGTTTCCGCTCACCTGGCGAGCTCCAAGGCATGGCTGCAGCGAATAGAACAATAATTTTTGAAAGTTCGATGAATCAGTAGGAACATTCGGGATTATAGTAGGCACTCTGCTCGCACTATGAAACGAAACACCGATCGGTTCACAGTACGTGCCCCGGTGCGGTGACTCCTTGCTTTTCGAGCAAGCCGCGAGGAGAAAATTCCTCGCTCTTTTATCTATCGCTCTGGTGGCGACAAGTCGAAAGCAGCTTTGTGCTTGTCAGAACCGGCGTGGAAGTATCAGCAATCGAAGGTCCGGGGACATGGATTCATTCGGTGGTGCCTCGGTTCGCACCGGAAACACAACCGAGACAGCACTCTTCGCAGAGTTGCTCTCGTGGCTATAGACACGTATCAGATACTCATGAGCATCTCCCGTCGAGCTCGCCACTGCAGCTTTTCCGCTTCCAGCAATCAGTCGACGACATGACCTGGCTGACCCGATGAACCGAACTCCACATATACACACACTTCATTAAAAATCACTTCTCTTGAAAATTAATTTCCTTGAAATTCAGCATCTCCAGGATGCAAGATATTCACCACCACGAATCGCATCACGATATGAGCTCGTAACGCAACGAAATCCGATGATTTGTGTATCGGAGAGCCGGTAAGTTGACCGACGTGGATGCCACGTCAGTCAACTGACGACGTGGATGCCACGTCCGAGTTAACGAACTTCGGCCTTACTTCACGATCTGCACCGCCGCGACTTCGATCCACTGCATCGCGTCGTCAGTGCCCCCGTCGAGATTACGAGATTCAGTGTACGTTGAGGGAATCGCCCAGCTCCTGCTCTCGTAAAATTCTGAGCTTTGGTAGCAGCGAGGAAAAGGTACCCCCGCAGCAGCCTACAGATTTGGAACCGACAGCTGGGGCCCACGTGGTTGACTCCGAAATGTACCAACCATGGTCATCATGTTGCTCTCGCCATCGCCAACCAGTCGCCAACCCCTTGGAAGTGGGGGGTATATTTTTAATTTGCGTTCGCCGTGGGCCAAACAGAGCCAGGATAAAGTATATGTGAAATATGTGCTCCTTTGCCCAGTGCGAAAGTGATATGTGGGTGGAAGAAGATCTGCAGCCTCATCCAATGTCCCTCTGCAATCTGTGGTAGGCGAGAACAAAAGACTCTTCGTTTCCCATTTATCTCTGCCACATGGTGGTGCTGCTCATCACTGTGCATGAATATTTAACTCGTTTTCGTGACCCGAAAAGCTTTTGTTTTCCAGTCAAGGATTCACTTTTGTGGCAAAAGGAAATGAATTGATTCACCTGGTCAACTGCATTTTCAGAGTAGGGGAACCAGGTGGTATTGAAGGAAGGAAGGATGGGAAGACACATCAAAAAGTACATGGATGAAATCGAAGGGCAAGATGGGGCTAGGCCAGCATTGCAATTTATAAATGGGTACATACTTGGGGGAGTTTGTATGCACTAACTGCATATGGCATCATGATCGGATTTCATTCTGAATACTGCAAGGGGATTGGAACATCATTGCACTGCACCTAAAAAAGACGTAATGTGGCGTCTTTTCTGAGACTGATGGCAAACGCAATTGTTGTGACTTGCATATAGGTGGTACATACTTTAATAATGCACCGTAAGATTAAAAAGCAGGCCATCTCGAAAGGGCAGCTGAAGGTGTTCAAAGACCTCTGCCAAGGCTAGAAAGATCTGCCCGTTCAGTAGGATTTCGTGAGAAACAGTTATGGGTTTGGCGCAGCAAGTGGATTTTGCCTATACAGATAGAGGATAACGAGGCTACGTGAAAGTCCGAACTCTGATTGTCAGTACAACAATGTAATGAATGATGTCCACCGTTCGATTACACGTTGTGACAACGTTCAATGTTCATCTCTTTCCAGTCATGTACAGTGCACTCGAGTCCCTACGAGGACTGAAGGACTTGAGCTCTGTACTTGCAAATCTGACTTTCAGATAGACAGCCCGAGACCCATAGTAACTGCATCAATTCATGGCTGGATGCAGCGGATTGTACATGCGGAAGTCCACAGCAGTCGCCGTCAGTTTCTAGTCTGAGCAGGTTGTTCATCCCATTATCGAAGAGCGTTCAAACGTGAACAACTTTGAGATGGTCTCAGTCCATGAGTAGAGTCTTCGTAGGATACTTGGGGAGACTATAAAATCTGAGAAGACTCTAGAAGAATGTAGTATACAAGAAAGAAATAAAATCTACTGATCGCTAGTAAAGTCATGGTTCCAGTACAGTTCATTTAACCACAAAAAAAATGCAAATCACCAACCATTCATACTGGGCCTTGTGTTTGACTATTCGTAGAATTGGTACTATTTGGAGAATTTCTGTCAGCTTTTCTTAAAGTCAGTATAATTTGAAGTGGGGAGTAAGGAGACAAGCTAACTGCAATGAAATTATTGAGGCTTTGTCAATGTAATAATTAGAATCTGAAGTTGGACACTACTTTTACTACATAAATGTATTTATGAGTTAATATAGTATCTACTGATACTATAAAAATTTTAATAAGTGAAAATGAAGGAAAAATAGAGACACATGGAGTAAAAGGATTGCATCAGAATCTTTTATTTAAAAATCAGAGTGAAACCAGGCCAAGGAAACAAAACCAATCCAAGAAGATAGACGATAATTATAAAGATTATCATTCTTGTGATAAATCAGAATGCAATAATGACTTTTGAAAATCTGATTTTGTTGAAGTAAAATAAAATGTAGTGATGTGTAATGTATTTATATCATAAATAATAAACCATTCAATTTTTTTTAAATATCCAGTACTTTTCACATGATCAACATAAGAGCTGTTATGTTCAAATTTCAATTTCAAAAATCTAATGATGATACCTGAAATATATGCAAGTGAAAATATACTTCTAAAAATTACAGAATTTGAATTGATAAAATGATAAATATACTCGCATTTTTTGCTTTATGTGATGGCTTAAAATAGTTCGCATGAAATATTATGGATTATTTAATGTTTGAAAACACAAAACGAGAAACTATTTATTTATTTATTTATTTCAAATAAAAATTACAAGTTTTCAGATTTTCTACGATACAACACAAACGTATACGACGCAAATAAAATGCAAAAAGTGAACAAAAGAGATATGTGATTCTATGACAACATAAGTGATTAAAGTGAGATCTATAAAATGAATATTACTAAGAGCTAATATTGGATCTCTTATATAGTGGCAAGATAACCAAACATAACGTAGTAAAGTTCAAGAAGATAGAGTTATCAAAGGTCAATCTCAACTTGTTAGAAAGTTCTTGAAAAATGTAGAAACCAAATATGATTTTTGAATGATTTCATTCAACAAACATTTCAATTGAGTTATGAATTTTATGTAAAAATTTTCAAAATTTTATTATTTAAATAAATATGATATAGTAAAAAAATACAAATTATATTTTTTAAAATAAATATTTTTCAAATTATAAGATATTTGATTGACCTGTTAGATTAAAATCTGTTTAAATTTTGAATTCAGTAAGAATATGATTTTAAATAGAAATACAACAATCATAAGTAATGACATATATAAAAAATTGCCAAAATTTCACATTTCATTATTTAATAATGACACATACTCAAGATAATTAATCTTAACTTATTAACATAATTCATAAAAATGAATTTAGATTTTACCTCATTCATCTTTTAGTCTAAACCAACAAAATTAATTGGCATTACTTGAAAATTGATTTCGAAATTTTTAAGGAAAAAAGAATTCAATTGTAGATGTATAAAAGAAGAAGTGGAGTTAAAACATATTTATTCAAGCACATGATTTAATACTGAAGGTTGAGGAAAAAAGGAGAGAGGCAAGTGCCTTCGATGACATGTAATGATTTTAAAAGCAAAAAATGTTTTAAATATGGAAATTTTATTTGCAAGAAGAGTGCCTGAAGTTTTGAAGTAACATCTTTCAAGTACAATAATCTGAAACATAATGCAATTCGATGCATTCCTATCAAAAATATAAGAATATTAGATGTAAGAATTTACATTTTTAGGGGTTATATAACAAAAATTTAAAAATCATCATTCTTTCATAGGCAAAAGATAAAACATGTTATCATATGCCACATATAATAGGCCAAAATACTTATGCACGAGAAAATTACTGTAAGTGATCGATGTCCAAGCATGTTCTAGTGTGATGCCTATATACAATATAATAATCAGATGCAATAAGACAAAGACAGATGGGAATCATTAAATATACCATGATAATAACAATCACTTTGAGTCCATCTATGAATCAAAAGGAATGAAGATATATCGTTCTCATTACGATTGATTATTGCTAATCTTAGGAGCAATGTCAAATCCCTAACTGTACAACTCCTCAATATGACATCTGATGCAACTGTGTGTGATGACATCAGTTGCAAAAGTGACTTGAGTTGGACAAGATTTGAAATTATTCACAACATCAACTCGGACATGTAGAGACCAGAATGCATGTTCTTGATGTGAGAATGTACAATATCTCTCGAACTTGCATGATCACTCCCTTGAACAATGTTTTTTATGACATGTACATACTATTTCTCGTACCTCTGAGAGTAGAGTATGCTAAAAATGTACTAGTGGCTGAAGTGTCGATTTATGACATATTTGGAATATCTTAAGTAAGTTCTGAAATAATGAAAATGACATATCCTCCTTAAACTTAATTGAACCAAAATCTCTTTATTGCAAGATTATTAAATTAAAAGGAAAAACCAACATGTGGTAAAGCAACGGAGAGCAACTTATTGAGTAGTATGAACGCGTATTGTGGGATAAGTGTCTTATGCAGTTACTCGTAAAACTTACGAGGGAGCTATCCAGAAAAGTGGTCGAATCTCCAACCATAACCTGTGTTTTACGAGATAATGTGTAGCATGACGGTATGTTATAAGCCCTCAGTTCGTGGTTTTAAAAATGAGGAAACATCCCAAGGACAGATTGAGGGCGAAATCTTAAGTGAGCAATGCAACAAATGCCGAAAAAGGCTCATGTTAAGGGCGACTCTGGCCCCCTTGTTCTACTAGTACGAGTTGAGAGTAGACGAAGCGTTGGATGGTATCGTCCCATGTGTTGCAAGTGGTGGCGCGATCAAGTCGGTCGCCTACGACGCAGTGTTGGATGGGATGGTCCCATGAACTCAGCGTGATGATCACGCCAAGTTCCTTGGAAGAAAGATGCCTCGAAAACCGCCTTGCTTCGACGCAGTGCATGATCTCCAGCTCGCCCAGCAACTCCAGTGACGACGATTTACCGGATCAAGAGTAACCATCCATTGCCACCAAAACCACCTTGCTTCGTCACAGTGCATGATCTCCAGCTCGTCCAGCAGCTCCACTGGTGACGAGGTACTAGATCAAGAGTAACCATCCATTACCATGAGCACCGAGACACGAGCTTGTGAGAACTTCGGTTACATTTTGCATGACCTCTGCCTGCCATCCGTTCCCACCTGGTTTCAGCCGAGCCGAGCCCCGCCCAGCCCAGCAACTCCTCTCGGCGAGCTGCGCAAATCCGTCCACCGGGGACTTCGTTCAACCATCTCCCACGCGTCTTCGATGGCCCAATTTCCTCCACCTCGTCTCGTCTCCTGTCGGTAAGTTGTCGGAACCTTTGAAAGCTCGAGAGTTTCATTTCCTATCGACCAGGTGCAAATATTTTCCTCGACCTGCCTCTGCCATCCATTTGTGCTTGAGGCGTAAGGTAAGGTTCAGGCTGGTCCTTGCCACCCGTTGGGTCGAGCGTCGGTCTTTAGTTGCGATGCTGCTATGCTGTTTTGCTGCGCGCGCTCAACGTACAACTGCTTCCTCATGCCGATGAAGTTTTGAGCACCATGAAGTGTCGTAGCCGGTCAAGGGCAGGTAATTCTGGTAATTCGAGTTTAGCTCGATGATGCACCACGACAAGTGTCCCGTTCTGAGGTTGATTTGCGTTTGCATGCTAAACACCTGGTGGTCACGGAGGACCATCTATGCTCTTGAGAAACACCCAATAATATAGCAAAATCATGGCACTGCCTCGGTTGCACAAGTATGAAACCAAGGGATAGTAACTAAGGTGTAACCAATCCTGGTTACATTAAGACAGGTCTTATATTGCTCACTTGGTCACTAAATTAAAATGTAGTGGTGGGCATTGTTCCAGTTAACTTTGGCTTCAGGGATACATGAAAACGTAAATACCATCAATTGGTGGATAAGATTTGATATTATTTGTCTTTCTAATGTTTTAGTTAAGGCAAGGCAACTAAGAATGTAAAACATTTGAAAATCTATGTTACATGAATTGGGGACTATCCTAGGAGTAAAGCATATAAAGCAAAGAGAGTTACGGAGAAAAACGTTTCATCTTCATGACAATGCCAAAGTTTTTGTTATGATTTAATAGCGAGGTCATTGTTATTTTGAGTAAGGATTATCACTCTGGATGAGATAATTTTGATGGTAATATAATTTGAGAAGAGTGTGCTGTGATGAGAATAGTTGTTGTGATTAACATGCGAGTATTGATAGGAAGTTACTATGGTGGCAAGTTATGGATTCGAGAGATAGAAAAATACAGCCTCTAAGTTTTGAATCCTGTTCATGTCAAACTTTCTATATTGAGAAAGTAAGGTTGATCAATATTTGATGCATACTTTGATGACAACTTTATGCATCGAATGATATCCTTTATTTAGCATATAATTAAAATCAATATTGAAAAACATGGTCAGTCGGGTTACTTACCCTTGACTTTGAACCTGACCAATACAAAACTGTACGGTGTAAAAACCAATGACACTGCCACACCCACCAATATATCATGGCATACTACAGGAGTGAAATCACAACATAGAATCATGCCGTAAAACTCTCAGTAATGATCTACATAAACTTGCACATTCAGCTTGCTTTCAACTTAAATAATCATTAACCAAAATTGAAGTAAAAGCAACTTGTCTACCAGACTCTCTAGTTTTGGCAGGGCTTAACCTCACGGTTACATAAAATCTAGTTGTGTTGTCTTAACCTTATCACCTTGAAGGGAAGGGAACTTCCCCACCTTCAGCTTTTCAAAAGTTGAGCCATTTGCGAGCTGTTGCTAAATTAGGAGGGAGGACCGGACGACGTGGTCCTATAGGGGTGATGGTTTTTGTTAAGACGTCAGGGGGTCCGATATGACGTTCGGTAGAACGCTTATACACATATTTTGAAAGGCATTGTAACGGCATTATATAATATACCTAAAGCATATGGGAAAGTGAAGCTGGATCATGATTAGCTCATTGTTTGCCCCGGACACAAGCTTCTACTCAAGTGAACAATCATGTGATTTACGTTTTGAATGTTTTCTTATGCCCCTCACGTGACACATGATTGTAGCGGGATCCTCCCACTACATTAGATTAAACATATTCCAGCTTAATCTACGTTGTTTTAGACGTGAGATTTATCTGTTTTCTTCCCACAAGTCCCAATAGCTTATTTCGAGGAAAAAAAGAAATCAACCCCTTTACTACAACAAGGCCCCTTGATTGTTAAAACAATAATCACACACGATATATGGTTCAAGCCTCTAGCCTCGACGATTCTAACATTTATATCTATGAGCAAGTTTTGGGCATAAATTGTTCATCTCATAATATTTACAACGGGCGGCCCATGCACAGCTCAAAATGGTGGGGTCATTACCAAAGGTGAACAATTTATGAAGAGTAAATGCAGCATAACGCAATATACATCGAACATCAGCTCCACGCAGCGCAAATCATATTGCTCAATCTCAGCCTTGGACCAGGCGAAGAAACAAAAATTTTGTTTTAATTTTTTGGGTCCTAGAATGGCTGGGATTCACCCCTCACCCATCATCATCACGCCAGCACCAGCTGGTTGAACCTGATACCATCCAGCCTCAGTGGTGCGAATTTACCTAGCGTCGATCTGGAGGGCACCTTAGAAGATAAAGGGCGGCTTGATGCCAAACGTCATCAGAACATTAGACAACTCATCCCAGTGCGCAGGAGCACAAGCAGCATATTATATCAGACTCAAAATCCTAGGATTTGATACTTGCACTTTCAATTTGAAGACTTTCAACTCAGGCCATGTCAGCGGTTTAGCTCTTGCTTGAACCTCGAGTTCCATAGCGTACCAGCACTCAAGTAGTAAATTCTAGCGTGAATTCAATAGGCATCTCGACCTGCTCGATTTGAACTGGACAACGAAAAAAGGAGACGCATGGAATAAAAGCCCCAATGCAACAACAGAGATTCAACTGCAAAGGTACGGACCAGCACAGGAAGGGAAAGAGAGAGCTGATCTCCCTCTTGATGTAACCCTATATCACCGAAGAGTTAGACGCATGGAACAAAACGTGTGTTGGAACCACATCATTAGATGTACATAGCCAAAGCAATCTATAAAATCATGGGAAGGAAAGTAAGTAGGTAACCCTTCTCTCTTTCCTTATAATCACGATGTCAACAACTGCCTAATTCATATTCGATACGGGTGATAACAAAAAACCTAAAAATAACATCACCTATCAAAATTGCAACTCTCATTAAGAAAATCGACAATATTTTCTAAATTCATGCAAATGCACTATTCAGTTTATTGCATGCATTAAAATAACCGTAATTTTTTAATGGTAATCTCAAGCTCACTTTAATCGATTTAATTATATGTAGTCCGTTGGACCTACATGTCACATCAATTCCGAACATAATTCTTTCACCGCCCTCCTAGTGGTAGTCAGCAGCAGTCCGAAAGCCCTACCAGAGTCTCTTTCTCAGGAGACTGGATGAATGACGTTGGTACGGTTTTCTCTTTCTCCGAGTCCGGACTAAAGTCGCCATCGCTGTGGCTCTCGAAAACTCCGGGTTAGATCCTCACCAGGTGGACGGTCAGGAGAATATCCAAGTCGTGAAGTTCTCCACGTTATCGTCAACCGAGCATGCTTTCAACAATATGCAGCCGGGAAGAGAAATCTCGAGCCCTCAGAGTTGTCGGTCCAAATTCTCCACCACGAGAAAATGACCACACATTGTGACCTTACGTTTAATAACATATATTGCATCCAATAGCTTAATCATCAAAGTCAGTTTCAACTGCTTTAGATATAGGAATCGTCAAAATAGGCCTTACTGATCAATGGTCTAAGAATTTCTAAAAACGTAGATCAGATCACATATAGAAATCCATTATAACATCACGAAAATGCCTAAAGCACTTCTCTGCGAGCTCAGAGTCTCGGTCTCTGAACTCTAGTTGGATCTGTTCGATGTAATAAGACATGTTTTCCATTCTGATGCTATCGGAGCTGAGCTATTGGTGCTATCAGATTCACTCCTTCGGTGTCATCCTTGTGGCCTTCCCAAACTTTTTCTTATTAATTTATCGCTTTCGCCTCGCGTATGTAGGTCGGTGTGCTGGTGGTGGCCGACCTCAATTGTGGGGGCATCATATAATGGGATCGACCAGATGGTTGAATTCAGGGATCGAATCTTCATCTCCGAGACTCGCCCCTGCCGATCGCCGATCGGCAGGGCCGAGTCTCGGAGGTTTACCGATCGGTACGACGGAGGCTCGTTCTGTCATGCAGAATCTACAGGCGCCATGCTGTCGTTTGTCCAGGTCCGTCGATGGTGCCGGACCTGGACAAACGGCAGGTCTGGAGGGCCCGAGCCTGACAGGGAGGTGCGCCTAGCGAAAAAGGGTTCGGGTAGTTGGAGGCCATCAAGAGCGAGGGCGCATTGTCAACCCCTTCCTCGGAACAGCCTGTTTTCGCCTTTGCCTCGGTCGGCAACTTGGCATAAGCGCCCTCCGCCTCCACAGTTGTGCCTCCATACCAGCTTCCTTGTGCCTTACCACCAGTGCGATCGCGTGTGACCTGTATCGGACGGCTGCTTACGGCTGTGTGCCCTCTGTCCGGTTTTGTTCTTTCTGCCGCTCCCCTGTCACTCATCAGCTCCGGTTTCTGTTGCCCGTGGAACCGGATCCCCCCACGCCTGCCCGATCTCGGATTCCAATCGGCGATTGATGACGCCCGGCCGCACCACCATCGAAGCCCAACGCGGTTATGGCTCGGATCTGGAGTATACGCGCTCGTCACTGCGTTCGTCTCCATCTCCATAGGCGCAGAATACCCTCCACTCTTCAGGCGAGCCTCGTGAGGAGAAGGGAGAAACGAGAAGAATTGCGAAATGGTCACGAGCCCGGTTGGAGAAATAATTTCTACTCTAATGAAATAATCTGAAATAACGATCTGAATGAAATTTCGACTAAATGTGATACAAATCTCAATGTTATATCGATTAACGAATGACCCCATTTATTGCATTTTGTCCGACGCAGTCTTCGAGACCTCACTGCGTAGTGACGATGGCTCGACGCGGTATCCCTCTGCAGGACGCGCGGTGCGGGGTGTGGGTATGTCGCCCGCCCGCCCGGCCCGGCAGCGGTTTGTCCTGACCGCGGCCGAGCCTAACCTGGAGCGGTACATTTGGCAAGTGGAGGGCACGGCCTTCGGGTAGGCTTGTCAGTCCAGACCCGGTAGCCTCTCCCGAACGGATGAGCTCAATCCGTCTTGGATGTCGATCATAATTGCACAATCCGAGCGTCGTAAACCTGGAATGCCACACTGCCACAGTACCGGCGGAGTTACTGTGGTAACACCAGAGGAAGTTACCACGTGAGCCCTTCGGATGGGATTTTCGCTACGCGTTAGAGGCTGGGAGACATGTGGCCCGTCCACAGTAAGTGTCCGTGCTCGTGTTAAGAACACGATGATTACGTAGATGGAGATGCAAATCTATGATTAGGCTCACCACCCTCGGCGGGCCAATCGGGGCCCGGCCGTGGGTCATGGTCAGGACATCTTGGTCAAGCCACCTCTGCCCAGGGTTTGATCCCGCTGGCCAATCGCCCGCCCCTGATGGCCGTTAGCGCTAATTACCAGACTAATCGCACGCTCAGCGCCACCGGGAGCAAGGGTCGCAACCGGATGCCCCAGAACCCAGAGAATGAAGCGATACTGCCAAGATGGCGGTGATTCAGTGCCACAAGCGAGTCGCTATCCTCGTGGAGGGAGAGGGGTGGGAAAGCGAAGGAAAAAATTTGGCGGTTTCGAACCCGGGCAGCAGCGCCGGGGCACTCAGCCATTGGCGGGGATCACTGCGGCCGATCTCCCGGTGAGTATAGCGAGGCCGCCATGTTTGGCTACGTAGCGCGTCCCCGCCCGCGCCACCCCGCCCCCCACCACGAGGAGGAAACGACAAAAGTCTCAACTGCGGCCTGTCTAGACAAATTTTCTACGATATATCCGACGGTCGAGGAGAGCGGACACGAAGGATCGAACGGCGCGGCCGGGGTCCGCGCGCGGGCGAGCCTTTTCGCACAGGGCTCGTTGGGGGGAGAGCGGAGGCGCGTATCCACCGGCAACCACAACACGAGCGGGTCGACGGTCGCGATGGCGCATCGGACGGTGGGGGAGCGAGGGGAGGGAAGGGGGCGCCGCTAGGAGGAGAGGAGCGTCGGGAGCGTGCAGGTGCTAACCGCCCGGAGGTAAGTGGCGGGGACCGGTGGAAGAAGGCGAGAGCGCGGGGAGATGAAACACCGGGTGCCCGGAGGATCGTGGCCTTCTATTCTCGGGGATGGCACCTGCAAATCGCAGCACAGTGGCGAGGCCTGCATTGAAATCGCGAGGAATTGATTAGTCAATTCGCGGATTGATCAAGAGCATGAGCTCGACACGAGCTCGCCATCATTCCCATTGTCAGAGCCCGGAGCCCAGCCCAGGCACACGACTACAAGTAGAGAGCAAGTCCAGGGCACTCTCGGATTCCAAGTCTGATCCTCCCACACGTCTTGAGCCTGACCCGAAGAGAGTTTGTTTGCGCCATCGGGAAAAAAGCTTCAGTATTACCCTCTCCGCGAGAGCGAGTCCGAGTGCTGTGATTGAGAGTACAGCGGTGGCATGAGAAGACGTCCATGAGAGCAGCAGGCTTGGACGAATAAGCAGCTTTCGAAGGGTAGATTCGCGGGGGCGAGCCTGGGAAGGCAGCGAGGAATATAATACACTTAGATTCGTAGATTGCCGTCGTCACCGGGTTTGGAAGAACGAACCAGTACTCGTACTCGTACTATCTATCACTCTCCGTGTGCTCTCCCGGCTTTTGTGGCGCCTGGGGACTCGAATCCTTCTAGCCACCTGTTCTTTGTGCTCGAGGCCCTTGAGCTTGGAACTCTTTGCACGGGCCTTCTGGTCTCTCTCACATTTATCACCTGATTCTTGTGGTCAGCGTTCTCGGCTCTCTCTTGCTCGCCGCCTAACGTGAGCTTCTTCGGGAACTGGCCTGGGGACCAGCAGTCTGGTCTCGGCAACTATCAGGGTAGAGGTGTGGAAGTCTACATCTAGGGAGCTCCTGGACCTTTCTGGTTCAAACTTAGTTTTCGCTCTTACCCGGTTTTGGGTCGTAATCCTTGTCTTTGACGTACTTTCGAAGTCCTCTAGTCTTGGTCGTCAAAATTCGGCAGCCCCTCGCTTGCAGCACCTTAATATTCAACCGAATGGACGTTTTGGACGACCTATAATTCCTCCCCGGAGAACCAGATTTGTGCAAAGTGTTGTTTCAACGCTGTTCGTTGATTATGTACAGTGGGCGCAATCAGGCCGCGTAGTGAGAAGACAGATAGTCATTATCTGATTCTTGCTCACTCGCCTGCCTGTGACGAACGTCATATCAATCAGTCGATCAATCATGGGTTCATACCACCACTCCGACCATTGCAGAGTGGTACCTGGTGTGCTGCAGCCCCATCACGTCGACCCCAGGGAGGATGTTTGCGGAGTCTTTCAGGTGATCATCCAGTCCTTGAAATTTACATGTACATCGGCACAAGTCCGTCGGCCGTGGAAATGTCTTCTTGCAGTATTTCGGCCAGGCTACCAGCAGCATTCAGTTTCTTCGGTTCCCTTCTAATCATCCTGTTTGTTCTTTCATATGACAGCCTGCACCCAAGGACAGATTAGTCCAATGCTTTATAGTGAGGGATCCATCTACACAGGCTTTATGTCTCTTCTTGCAGCTGAGCAAGAAGCTTTGTAAGTTCCACGAGCCATACATTCTTCTTTCTTCGTCTTTGCCAAGTCGTTGTGCTGTACATGCTAACCACGGAGATTCGTCATGTCCGTGCACGTTTTAACAATATCGCTTTCTGGAAAGTGCGCTGATCACTTCAAGCATTGTCATGAGAAGAGAATGGATTCTGACATTCTGGTAACTCATTTTCTTCCCGCAGCCACCGTGACAAACCGAGGGAAGTTTCTTGTAGCCGCTCGGCAAGTCACCTCCATGGCGTCTTCGGATTTCATGATTTGTGGGGATCTCGACGATCTTTGCGAACAAAGCGAGTTTTATTACGGCAGATTGAGGTACGCTGTCACCTGGAAGCCACGCCAGCGGTTTGTTTTTTCAACGATGCATTTCAACATGGACCCCCACCGTTCGTGGATCGCGGTCCCCGCCTAGAGCGCGTATGACTGGCATCCCTCTCTAAAGATTGACGCTGCCACCGCCTGCGCTTGTTCCCCACTGTTTACGCATATGGGTAGCCTCAAGCTGACTCGCTTGACATGCCATGTGGTGACAGGTCTAATTTGAGCCGCACGGAGTACACTCTTTGGGACTGTCGAGAGGGGGCCAGACGGAAGAGCAGGACGAGCTGCTGGCCACATTCCTCGAGCGGACTGAGACCCGGCAGCGTGAAAGTGGCCGATATCGGTTACAATATGACCTTTGGAAAGCCACAAAAAATTGAGTGCTTGGTTCATTCTATAAGATATTGCGAGGTCAACGGTGACTCTTCGAGACCTGCGGCCGGAGAGAGTAGCGTAGACAGCGTTTCGGAATCGACCGACGTGCTGAGCAACAACTACGTGCGTACGAATCACCTATTAAGCGAGGTGTCTCAAAATCTCGCCAAGTCCATAGCTGCGGGTGCAGGTCAGATGAGTCAACCGGAGTTCACCCTCGACAAGCTTTTACAATCTGTTTCAGAACCTTGGAGTTCTGATGAGTCGCTGCAGACATCTCCGAGGAACTCGAGCCAAGACTCGGTCAAGAGTTCTCCAGCGGCAAGCCAGGACCGGTCCGTGAAGAAGGAAACATCGCCTCGTGGCTCGTTACGGAAGAGCTTGCCAAAGATTGCTGTCAAGAAGATCGACGAGGCTAGGGTGGGTGACGCGGTCGTGGACGCACCGTTGCACTTGAAAACCAGGGCGTATGTGTGGGACAAGGCGTGCAAGAGATACTACGCCGACTTCAACCGTGGGGACATCCCCGGGTCTGCGAAGAACTTTCAGCTGGTTGCCGGTAACCATGTACAGAAGGAGAACGACAAGATATTGCTCCAGTTTGGCCAGGCGGGGCCCGAAATCTTCTTCATGGATTATCGTTATCCTCTCACAGCTTTTGAGGCGTTCGGCATTTGTCTGAGCAGATTATTCTAGTCCTCACCCTTAATCATTCGACACCCTGACCCTGATACGTGTGCAGATCAAATGACTCTCCATTGATGAGAAAGAGCATCATAGGGTTTCAACATAGCCTATTGTTCATTATACCAATTTTGTATTGCATAATTCTTGAAAGCTGCGGAAGCCGTCTCCTGCAATTTTCGTGCTTGTGTTCAGAGCCTCCTCCAGCATCCACTCCATCTTTCAAGCCAAATCATACTTTAGTCTGGAGCCTTTGGTCACCTGATGCTACTGGCAGCCTATTTTTCAGGATAAAACTCAGCTCATTATGGCCACATCCCTGTGCAGTGAGTGGGAACCATCTCAGTGAAGTTGTATATTTTACCCGCTGTTGCTAGCTGGACGTTGTTCCTCTACATTATTCCTACTATCTTAGTGCTATGCTTTGGAGCTAGTACATTCCAATAAAGACCAGTATCAGTTTATGAGAACCTACAGCTTCATGATCTAAGTGGTACATCACCTCGTTGCTCTTTAGAATCTCGGATGTACAAAATAGTGGGACATATAACGACCAAGGTTCAGACTTAAGAGAGTGACCAGTCTGGATCGGCCGAGCTGAGGCACAGTGGTGGGAGTAGAGATCGTTAGGTACTTTAGCATCATAAATCTCCCTGTCCAGCATATCCAATATCTTCTTCATGATATGTACATATGATGTGGCAGTTGTCGAGTTAAACATATGGAAGCTAGCTACATCGAGTGTAGATAGACATTTTTAGTACCGTCTGGATTTATTCACCAGACAGTTTGTTAAGCCCCCAGTCGAGGGATGTACACTCATGAAATGGTAATGAAGTCCACATTTTTTAGCAATTGCTTTGTTCATGATTTCTTTCGCTTCAATCTCGACCTGTCACGATGAACTGTCTCTTCAGTGTGTCTACGTCCTACCTCGGAGGTTATTCGCGCTGCTGTCGAACTCAGCCGGACTTCTCTTTATCTCTTATGAGTTCTAAGATCAGAGCCCGCACTTCGTCATACTACCAACATCTTTCCTAGCCGAAGAAGCTCAACGACCAGACCTTTGCGTGAGGAGCAGAAACCGAAGCGCCAGAAAAACAAACTTCTCCACAGATTCTGAAAAGCTAACACCGTACTTGTGGACCAGTCTTTCGCGGTTAAAATACACATATGTATGTATCAGCTTCGACTGACTGCACGGTGTTTGATCGTTCTTGAGTCCGGAAGCTCACGCATCTGAACTCTAATGGAATATACACGACTTTCCGGATGATGGACCGACGATGCAGCCATGCACATTCTCTCTTCAGAACCTCTGACAATCCCCGATCTGAATCCACATTCACGAGCAGATCATCCGGTATGCGAATTGAGCTTGCTGTAAATCGGCAGCCCCATGGGTCATATTACTCACGTGGAGTTACGAGCATGGGGTATGGGGTAGACTTGTGTGCGTCACAAGATGCGGATCCCTGAGCGACGGCTTGCATTCAGTGATCACCATCCATCACCACCACACTCTACGCCTTTGTTCTCGTAGAGGGATGTTCCCACTGACTCGCTTCCCGTGTGAAACTGTTCAATTCCTGGGCCACGACCCGCAGACCTCTGCGGATTGACAAGAGCCAGCATCGTTGGCCCGCAATCATACAACCCCTGAGGAACTCCACCCTCGCCGACCCAAGGTTCGCTTTTAAAAGCCAAATGCCCGAGACACGCGAGAGCAAACTCTGCGGGCGTGTGAGCGGCCGATATATTCTGCTGGGCAGGCAGAATCCGGCCCACGCGAGTTAGCGTTTCCAGGCGATGGTGCCCGGAGCTGCGAAGGTTTGTCCGGCCAGGCATCATCTCAAACGGAGGCGATGCTTTGGTGAGGCCAGTCAGTCCAACGATGATGCCCAACCTCAAGTGGTGAACCCGAGTCACTAAAATTGCATCCTTGACTCCCTCCAGAGCGGACTAAGCTGGTGCACGTCGTCCGTCCCGCGTCCTAAGCTTCCTGCGCGCCTTCCAATTTTCAGAGGGAAAGCAAGAGAGAGAGAGAGATTCATGGCAGCTGAGCCTTAGCTTGAGCAGCAAACCACTACAGCGCATGTTCTCTGGTTTTGTTGGCTCGTTTCCCACCGAGAGCAGAGCAGAGCAGAGCGGATTCGCGGGATACCTGCCTTCCCATCGAGGCTCACGATGGGTTGGATCTCTAGCACTCCGGGGAGCTGTATGGGAACCTCACTGCTCAGAACCCTGCTGCAGGAGGTTGGTGAAAGGTGGCTTCGCCACATTCTCTTGAATGACGGGATCCTGAGATATCTCCGCCTTTGCCAATGGCAAAGATGGGCGCCCCTGCGCCAATGGGACTGCTGCAAATTATTTGCGGTTTTGCAGCGTTCGCAGTCCCCGGAATGCTTTAGAGACCCTTCTCCTCTGCAGTAGAGCCAAATGGCCTCCCAGATATCGTCGAATCAGATTAATCTACAATTATTCTATTTTATTCAACTTCTGCCAGGGAACGAGGTCGTAATAAATTCAAGAAATCCACGCAGGTGACAAATGGACCTGTAGTGTCGAAGACAATTGTTCCAATGCCCGTAATACTGACCTTGCACGCCAAGTCGAGCGCTTGCACTTTCCATGAAGGTGGGTGGCATTGCGAGGATCAAATTCGATAGAACTCTTTTCTGAAGTTCGCAACGCAAGATTTTATGAGTCCGCAAAATGCGTAGTGGAAACCTTTTAGTCTTGCGTGCTCAGCCTCACGAACCTCTGATCCTCGGTCAGTAAGCCAACTTGGAAAGTAAGACCTTGGAGCCACATGATACGAACGACAAAATATCAAGTTAAGTGTACTTTCTTTGATCTACTAGGAAGGGGGGAAAAGAATCACGTCCAGCGTGAGGTGTTGGACTGATTCATGGACGACTTCGACTTATCGGTCATAGAAGACAAGAGAACGGAGTTTCGTCTAGCAAAGCCTAACCCGAACAAGAGACAAGTACAAGTGGGATCATTATTTTATCAATAAACGCGAGTATATGCACCCAGAATTTCGATTGCTTTTTTAGACCAATTCAATGAAATGTCACTGGGCCAGATACGAGATCCTGGATCAGAGCAAATTTTCTTCGTTCATAACAACCTTCTGTGTCCTACGTCCTATACACTGATGATCCATACTTAAGCTGAACCAAGAGGAATACGCCAGATATTCACTATTTTATTGACATAAGAAGGCTCGCATAAATTGCTGCATTGGGGTTCAGGAAGTGTACAAGCCCAACTCAAACTTGACACTGCAATGCCGTCTTCATTCTCGTTTGGCTGTGATACAGCCAAAGGATCGAGTCACACACGCGTGAAATGATTTCCACATTTTGCACCCATCGCCAGTGGATACAAAGTAGGGCTCAAAACAGCGAGCATCACACTAAACCCCCAATTCGAGATGCCGGTCGATCGATTGATGTAGTCATCGATCTTTCATCGCAAGCGGCATTACGCAGACTCGTCGATTTGATGGCGATGTTCCTCCCTAGCGGCGACATCGTAATTGTAGCAGAATACGTCCAAGCACTTCGGTCGTCTCGAGGCCCACCATATCTTGCAACAGCACATTCTCTCCCCTCGTGCATACCAAAGTGGTGTACGCAAAGGACTGTAGGGTTTAGACGAATAATTTGACCTCGCGATGTCAAATCTCGTGGTTTAGTGGAAGGTATAATGCTCGAATATTCCACTTTTGTCCTCCCCCTGCTGACTGAGGCCGGTCTGAGGCCGGTCTGAGGCCGGTCTGCTCGAGAGACTTCAGCTCAAGAACATGGACTGGACCCCAAGTCTCGGTCCTCCTCAATCGCGCGTCGAAGGTCTTAAAGGAAAGGTTAAAGGAAGTGAAAATTCCCGCTGTCCAAGTCCGAATGGGACAGTTCTAGAAGCACTACACCGCCTTTTGTAAGAATGGTCCTCGAGGTGTGACCTTCAAAATGATGGACCCACTACGCAGACCTTGGGTTAAATCGGAACCTTGGGTTTGATTATAACCGCCTGAGCACCCAAAGCACCATACGAGGCCTCGCGTGACTGCTCAGACTTGCACGATTGTCATCTATCGTTTATTGGGGCACTGTTTTATATAAAAGCATGAGCTTCTTGAGATGGCCTAAATTGAAAGTTGTGTTATTTTTTATATAATTTATGAATGAAATGTGATGAGTAAAGGCAACATTGGTGTGTTCATCCAGTATTGTGCAGTAAATTCATGTTCTTCATCTTAATTCGTCTTCTTAGTATGCATACTTACGAAATGATTCTCATAGATCGGAGTTTACATTCCAAATGTGGATTGAGGACATACTTCTTAGACTCTGAAACATGACAACTTATAAACTTTATATATGTATGTCCGAAATTGATCAAGGTTTAGAAATTCATGGGTATTTTCATGGGTAGATTATCAAAGAAAATTTAAAATATCCGTGAACATCTAGGTTCAAGATACTCTTAGTTGATTGTATCATCCTATATCGATGAGCGTGGAATGAGACAAAACAATCTTATCATGAATTTTCACTCACATTCGTTGCAATCAAATGTCACTCAGTGTTTTTTCTATCTTTCAAATTTTTTTTACAAATTCCGAATGAATAGATTTTTTCATGAATAGTTGTCAATGGACTGTGGTTCCTTTCTTTCAACTTTCGTCTAATTTATGTTCAGTTTGAATAAAGGTGCTACAAAAATAAGAAGTAATTTTTTAAACTAAATATATTGAACACTCTGTTTAGATAAATATTATAGTAATAAAAAAGAATTTTTTTAATTGAATTTTTTTTATCCATGTTGCTACAACACTAGGTACTAAATTGCACTCTAAAACTATAAAGAGGTACTAGATGCAAGAGTAAATTTGTATCAAAAATGATATTGTGGCCGAATGTCCTGTTGCGGTGCAAAATCAACTGCCATATCGATGACATTTATGTGAAGGAAAATTTCTGTCGGCGTAAACTAAAGATATTAAAAAGATAAATTATTTTTGCTTTTATCATAAACAAGCAGTGATCAAGATACAAGTGGGAGGGAATACATACAAAGACTTATATTATGTAATTGTGGAGTCAACATAAGACAATCATAGTGAAAACCGTTATTTTTTACACAAAATGATGTATGATATCGTCCTCAACTTTTCTGCATTTATACATTAACCATTCCTCTAGTTTGGAAATTTTTCTTAGTTAGTGAAGTTATCAATATCATACTTCTTTACAGTAGCTCCAACGGCATAATTCTAAATTTTAATCCCAATTTCTTATAGTTTTCTATTTGTTTTTACGGTTTTGGATTTCAAGTTACTAACGGTATTGGTTTTCTGTAGATGGTCTTGATGAAATGATTCATCAAGACTAAAAAAAATACAACTTCCGAAATCTACTGTTTTTCAATGTTGTTAATAGCTATTTTGAAATAAAGTTATTGTAAGTAAGAGTGTTTGATTCCATATATATGAAAATTTTCTTCTCTGTATAATGACTTGTTAAAAAAATGAAATACATTTTGCAAACAAATTATTGGAGTTTTCAGTCCTGTATCCACCAAGACCTTGTTTTGTTGTAATTGTATCACTAAACATTGTAAAGCGCTCCCAAGTTTGGAATAAAACTAGAATTATACTTGTTCATAAGTATTTCTATATTTTCATTGGCGATAATTACCTAGGTGTGATAGATGTATCCAAGATTTAAGAATTATTTTAAATAATTAAAAAATACAAGTTAGTTTTTTAGTAATTTTTTTAAATCAAATTTAGAACCATTTTGATTATATTTTCATTACTTATATGAAATAAATGAAAATT